AGCTTACTAAAACTAAGGCTAATCTATCTAGAGAGTTTAAATAGACTAATAAAACACAAGCCGCTTTTAACGGTCTAAAGCAACGCTTTACTAAAGTCCCCTTATTGCACTATTTTATGCTAAGTAAGCAGATCCGAATTAAGACTAACGCTTTATAGTTCGCTGTATCGGCTATTATATTACAGCAATCAGATAATAACTATTACTAGCACCCGATTGCCTTCTTTTTACGAAAGATAATCGATATAGAACGTCGATATAAGACCTACGAGTAAGAGCTCTTAGCAATCGTAGAAGCCTTTAAGTATTAGCGCTACTATCTCGATAGTGCTTAGTATACGATTTAGGTCTATACGGACTATAACAACCTACGTAGTATTACTAAGGTTATAAGGGTTATAGGTCGATAGGCTAGATAGGCCGTCTACCTCGCCGGGTTCGATTTTAATATATTATATCGGCTAGGCGTAAGCAACCCTACTAATAGCCTATCGAGGCGACCTAATTACAATAGCGAGACCTAGTATATTAATTTATTGTTTCTAACCCTATAGTATAAGATTGCTATAGCCCGTATTGTTAATAAGCAAGCGTAGGATAAGCGGACTTCCGGACCCCGCGGCGGTAACAAATACTATAGCGGAGTTATCGTTCTTCTAGTATACGTTAAAAGAAAGGACGTAGATCGCTCGAGCTATAATAACTCGATTAAAGATATTGCTATCTATAGCGATAGCACTATAGAAGAGGTTATAGTAGTTCCGGCTACTAGTACTATTAGATATATATAATACGTACCTCGTTCGATAGCGAGGGTACTATTAAATAACCTTACGAATAGGGATAGTTAATCGTTTATAGATAAGCTGTTATAGGCTTAGTAGAGGGACGCCTTTGCTGTCGAACGTATTAATAAGCTTATAAGTAGGCGAAAGACTTAATCTAGTAAGAGTAATAGTTAGTCGATCGACGACAAAGGTTACTTAAAGTTTAAGGGCAGATATTATGTCCCCGCTAAACAATCGATTAGACAAGAGCTTTTAAAGAGGCACTATAATAGTGAACTCGCTAGTTACTATAGTATAGAGAGGTCGCACGAGCTGCTATCGCGTATATACTACTAGCTAAATAGTAAGCGGTATATAAAAGAATACGTATAGACCTACGTAGTACACTAGCGAGCTAAAGCACTAAAGCACTCACTATTTAGCGAGTTGTCTTTACCTCCTATTCCTAGGAAGCCATTTACTAAGCTTACGATAGACTTTATTACAGGCCTTCCGCCTACTAAGCGTAGGGATAGCAAGGATGTGTATAATGCTATCCTAGTTGTCGTAGACCGGTTTACTAAGAGCGCTCGTTATATCCCTGCTCGAAAGGATTAGACTACTATTAATATAGCTAAAGCCCTATAGAACAATATCTTCTATAGCTATTAGGGGACCCCTAAGGGGATAGTCTCCGATAGGGGCTCGATATTTATATCGCACTATTAGAGCGAATTATGCCTATAGCTAAGACTAAAGCATCGGCTATTAATAGCCTTCTATCTATAGACTAACGGTCAAATAGAGAGGCAAAATGCTACGCTATAGCAGTACCTGCGTAGCTATATTAACGAGGACCCTAATAGATAGGTTAACCTCCTATAACTAGCAGAATTCGTATATAACAATAGTGTATACTTATCTACTAAGGTTTTACTATATATAGCTATAATAGGCTAGAACGCTGCCTTGCTATAAGATCTATTTACCTCGCTCGAGGCCGAGCGTAAGGAAAGGGAAGCGCGTTAAGTACTAACACCTAAGACACTAGCGGCTATTAAGAGGGTTTAAAAGATACGGGAGATTTACGCTAAGTTAGCTAACAAACTAGTAAAGGCCTAGGCCTATTAGAAGGCCTACTATAACAAACACTATGCGCTAATAACCTTTAAGTAAGGCGATATAGTTATGCTAAGCACTAAGAACCTCCGTATCCGCAAACACCTATTACCTAATAGCAAAACAAGGCCTAAGCTCGCACCGAGATATATTAGCCTATTCCGCATTCGAGAAGTTAAGGGCTCTTCCGTATAGGCCTATTAGTTATAGCTTCTACCTTATTACACTATCTATAATACCTTCTATATATCCCTCCTTAAACTATACTATTAGCGCGAAGGCGATAAAGCGCCTACTAAGTTAGAAGAAGTCTTAGCCGATAGTAAAGAGCTATAGTCTATAGAGCGCATACTAAAGCATCGGACTAGGAAGGGTAAGAAGGAGTACCTATTAAGATAGTAGGGCTATTTACTAGAATAGGACTCGTAGGAAGCTAAAGATTCTTTTAAGGATATAACTAAGTTATTAGACGAGTATTAGACTAGCGTAAAGAACAAGAAAAAGGCTAAAAGCTCGTAATATTACTAAGGCCTAGGAATAATGCTACCCTTAGGGTGCTATTAAACTAACTAATTAGAGACAAGCAATTGTTAGTAAAGAACAACGAGACTATACTACTATAGTAAACGCGCACCGAGTATTAATAAGCGAGCTATAACGCGTTAATTAACTACCTACTCTTCTAAAAGACATCTACCTCTCTACTACCGAGCCCTATAGGTCCCCCTTTTATTTCTTTATTCTATCGAGGCCTCGAGGCCTAGGCAATCGGCGAGGACAGCGCGGCCGGCGCGGCTATATTAGTAACGGTGTTGCGTAGTATATTATTAGTTAAAGAAGAAGATTAGAAGCGAGGTAAAGTTAGCGCTAAGACGACTAGCGCCGCTATTATTAATATTACTTACTATTGTCGCTACGCCGTAGACGCAACCTTACCTATACTACGAGCCTAAAGCACTATACTAACTAAGTTAAAAGATTAAACCTATTAAAGGTTTGATTAAAACTTTAAGGCCGAGTTAAAACTTTAAGCCGCCTAAAAGATTAAGCGACTAATAGACTAACTAAAGGCAAAAACTATAGAGCTAAGCTAGCTAGGGTCGATCTTGCGGACAATAGGTTACTCCTTAATCTTTCTAACCCTTTAAGCGAGGCGAACCTTAACTACTACACTTATAATAGCCTTTACCTATAGAAACTAGACGAGCTGTGTTTTTTTCTAAAAAGATAAGATAAGATTAACAATTGAAGGCTACTAAACCTAACTAATTAGGGCTAGTAAAACTACGATAGTAAATAATAGTCCTTATAATAATAAGAACAATAACCCTCGGAAGCAGACAAACCCTCGAAAGCGGACATTACTAGGTCTTTTAAGAGTAGACGCAAAGAACTCGGACAACCTTACTTAGAACGGGGGCAGTGCTATAATACCCCGTATACCTACCTATTATAGTAGGGAAGGTGCGCTCGTATTATAATTAGTTACTAGCCTTTAATTTATATAGCTATATAACCCCTTATTGTTACTACGGTAGCAGTAATAGCGCAGTTAGAAGTTAGACATTGTCGGAGGTAAGGTTTAATATAGTTATATAATTAGGTAGTTAAGCGTTCAATTTAGCGCGGCTAAACGGCTTAGTTAGTCTGCTAAGTTAGCGGCAACGGAGATTAGGTTGTAATATAGATAGGCTACGAGGGCGCGGCCTTTAGAAGGGAAGCGTATATTAGGACTAAAGAGGTTACACGTAATTAGTATATAACTAGGCCGAGTAAAGCTAGGGTCTCGGTGCCTTAGGTAGGGCTTGGCGCTTAGCGTTAGGCTAACTAGCCTGCCTTCCTCCCTCTCCTTTTAGATCTCTATCGAATACTATACTAATTCACTACTACCCTATCTACCTACTAATATAACCCTTCTTATAAGTATCTTTTAAGAATGTATTTAAAATCTACCTAGAATTAAAGTCTATTTTTATTAGAACGCTATAATCTTACTATAATCTAGCGTTATAGTAATTATTTACTATAATAAAATTTTCTATTAAAAAGTTTCAAGTAAATTAGTAAAATATTTGAATATCTATTACCTTACTACCTCTTCTAAGTAATACTATTATTGGCTTTTAATATATCGTTTAAAACCTTAGATATATTGTTATACTATAGGTACAATACTTCCTTCTCTTTCTCTAAGCTCCTAGAAGGGTCGTATTAAGCTAACTACTAACTCCTTCTATACTTCCTATAGCCCTACTACTATATATCCGTAGCTTTAGTAGAGTTATATACCGCTCGCTACCTATTATAGATTATAGCTACTACTTATAGAAAAATAAGGAGCCGCTAGGACCTATATACTATAGGTAAGGCATTTACGGCCCTAAACTATCTCTTACTAACGCTAACTACTAGTAAACTCCTATACTAATAGCCGCGTTAGAGAAGTTCTAGCCTTACCGGGTACCTAGTACACTAATAATAGTGCCTATCCTAGATATAGAACGATATGTATAAAAACTAATAAACTCTCTATCTAAAAGCTATAGTTTAAATAGGCCTTATAATAATATTCCGTAGACTCTAGTACGCTCGAACTAAAGCGAGTTATAGTCTAATAATTCGTTATAGACCGAAAGCATATAATGCTTACGATACTCCTATATAGAAGATCACATTCTAGAGAAGAAGGACACTAGCAAAAGTAGGAGGGTATGAATAGCCGTATCTGGGCGCGAGACAAGGGCATTTGAGCCTTGCAGGGTATCCGGACAGGGACTGCATTAGCTGCGCAGTATTTACCCGATTTGGCGACGGTGACTGTGGTTACTCACTTCCAGACTATACTGATCGGTGCGGATAAACCGACCTACCATTCACCAACCGGCCGCTACCGAGAATATATTCACCCAAGGTCTCGAAGTCGAACGCTGTAGCTTGGAGACGGGACACTGTCGTAGAGATTGAAGCGCCAAAAGAGAACATGAGGAGATATACACCTTACTTCCACTCCCTCTTTCTTTCCTATATCCAATTCTAACCCTCAGCGAAAAAAAAACCTCACCGACAAAATATGGTATCATCAACGTGGAACTTTCCAAAACAAAAGCCACCCATTCATCTACCTACCCATTCCACCTGGTCCTCCACCTTCAAACCCTCCACCTTCGTACAAATCCAAGTACTAGCATACATATTAACCCGATCCGTACACATCCCCCTCGGAATCCTCGCCGCAACCCTCTTCGCCGAAAACCCACACTCCTCAAAAACAGCAATATACCAAGGCAGCAACCCAGAACTCCTGATCAAAACCCTTCCACCGAGTTTCAGTGCCCGATTGACAGCTTTGCATTGTGCGGGTGCCTCGGGACCGCCTGGGGTGAACCAGTCCATGCTGTCCATGAGGACGGCGATGGTGAGGGAGTCGGGTTGCATGCGGGCGAAAACTTCGGCGAGTTCGTCGGTGTGGATGCGGATGTCGGAGAGGGGGGAGGAGGGGGTGGAGGAGAGTTTGAGGTGGGATTTTGGGGTTAGGTAGGTTGGGTGGCTGCGTTTTGTGTAGTGGCCTGGGAGAAGAGTGAGCATTACGCTTGCTTGATGACTTTTTGGTGGTGGCTGACTTACCTAATAAGCAGAGCAGGTAGTAGTGATTGTCCTCACTTAATAATGTCTCCCTGGCGACGGGATCTAGGGTTTGGACACCATAGTTCCAGATCGCTTGACCACTTTTCAGAGGTCCCTCGCCTTGAGAACCGCTCTTGTGCTCGACTTTCTCCTGATCAGATTTTCTTGAGTCACCCTTAGATGCCAGCTCTCGCTTGAAATCCTCTTCAATCATGGCTCTCTGCTCGCCTGGAACACCGAGAGCTTTCCAGAGGAAACGCTCAGATCCTACGACAAAATACGCCAGGAGTTGAGAGAGCAGGACTCGTCGGACACGTTTGTTCCAGATCTCACGCTGTTCGGCCAGTGTCTCGACTTCGCAAAGTTTTCGCATATCGTTTCTGATACCGAGAAGGGAGCCGAGCCAGCTGACAAGTTGGAGAGCGTGGCGACTGCCGCCGGTGAAGTAGAGTCCTTTGCCCTTGGGGTTGAACGTGGAGGGACCGGCGTGGAGCCAGTAGTCGAATGCTTGTGAGGAGAGGTGGGGGGAGAGGCGTTCGAGGAGGAGTCGGTGAAAGTTCTCGTGCTTGCCTTCTCCGAACAGTTTCCAGAAATCGGCGTAATCGAGACCACGATACCCTGCAACCTTGAGCTCGAGAAGGTGATTCTGAGTCGGATTCAGATCGACTGCGTGGATTCGCTTGGGTCGTTCTGTGGCGTATGCGAGGATGTTATCGCCTGCGGATGTGATAGCAAGGATGACATCCTCAGAGGTGATCTTGAGCAAGCGAGAATCAACGCGGGAGTCTTCCCAGGTGAAAGCATAGATGTACTCGTCGTTAAATTGGCGGTGCTTAGGGAGAGTGTCGTCATAGTAGATTCGTGTCTTGTTGTTCTGGTAGTATGCTGCAGGAAGTGGAAGGCTGGCCGCGAGATTTACGACGGCGGTATCGTAGGCCTTGCTTCTTCGATCAGCGCTCGAGGAGCGGCGTTTCGTGAGGCCACGTGCATGAATATCGAGAGCAGTAATGAACGGGCTTTCAGTCACATCGGCGTCCACAGCTGCAACCTGCTCCAGTGGGTTGACGTGGCTCCTGGTACATCCAATGAAGATGTAGTACGGAATGCGGAAGCCAAGAAGGTGGCATCTGCGGTTGGTGCTGAGAATCGTACCAAACTTATACTCAATATAGTCGCGGCGAGCGGATTCCAGATTAACGCGATCAAGCTCAAACCAGGTTCTCCAGAAAACTCGCGAGATCCACATACAGTGCCTGTCAATGCTGCCACCAGTGTAGTTTCGGCCGGCAAATTCCACTTTATTCTGAACGTAGAAGTCAATCACACCTACGATGCCATTCGGGGCCAGGAGATTGGCAACGCTGTCAATGGCCGGATGGAACTCGGGAATCATGCTCAGACTGTATGACATGGTCAAAACGTCCGCTCCAACGCTGTCACGTGCATCAGTGTCGTAGGCGGATCGACCAATGCTGAAGTCTCGTTTCTCGTCCTCGATACCGGCCTCGTAATCTGCCAAGCGAAAGACTCTAGCGTCCTCGCAAATGACGTGAACATTCTTCCAGCCCAATCTCTGAAATCTCTGTCGCGCGATCTCGCACAAAGATGTGCTGAGATCGACTAGATATACAGCGTGGAAGGAATTTGGCACATCCACGTGCTGACCCATATGCTCAATGTTCCAGCCTGTTCCTCCTCCGATATCCACCCAGATAGGCTTCTTTGAAATCTGGCCTGTGTCTCGTCTGTGCTTGACCTGAGCTGCCACAAGAGCGAGCATGTCTTCTCTTCCCTGGAGTAGCTTGGATCGGGTGACATCGTAGATAGAGGCCTGGGACTTGTAAAAGCTCTCGAGAGCATCTTGCTGGTTTCCACTGGCGTCGCCAGTATGTGGCTTTAGGAAACACGTGTAGGCGAAGCGAAGTAGGTATTCGATGCTTGTAATTGCTTTACTCAATACGGTGACTTCGGCGAATGCTAGCAAGAACCATAATGCCACGAAAACCAGTCCGCAGATCGACGCCAGTGAGAGTTGATGCTTGGGATCAGCCAGCCATTCTTGGACTGGGCTCAGCATGGAAGCCATGATTGTTAGTCGATCGAGTGTCGAGCTCGCGTGCCCGAGGAGGTGAGGCACGAGGGAAGCACAAATCGAGCACGAGAGGTGGGAGGAGGAAAAGTCAGGAAGAAAAGATGTGAGGAGAGCAGGGCTAGGTGTAAGAGTACAGTCGGCAATACGCCATCTGCATTCATGAGAGCGGTAAAAGGATCCTGGTCTACTGTATGCTGGTCGTATCCAATGGCCAGGCAAGCTCTGCGGATCTCAATGGTCGCGGGCACCTTCGCGTCCTCTGCTACGCCGAATCAGCCAAGTGTGAGAGGACTGTACCTGTGACACGCAATGGTGCCGAATGGAATAATTCCATTGACCCCGCGATGGACAACACGAGTGCCCCGCGGTTGCGCTGGTTGCAGGCCACAGCGTGGTCGTGGTGGATGTGGTTGGGCGTGACAGCATTGGCGGAGAGCAATCAGCAGCCTATCAGGACTGCACATGTCGGCGGCGGTCGCCAGGGCAGGCGTGTACGAGTCGCCAGGTCCGGCAAAATCACAACAGACGAACAAATTTCGAGTGAGCTGCAGGTCGATGCAGCAGATGCAGGGTCGAAGCTTTACGTAGCATAGTGAGAAGCTCGATTTGCTTGTGACGAGACCATCAGCGCCCGTGCTCCAGATCGGCAGCTGACAGGTTGCTCGGCTGATGGCATTGACCAATCATCTTCGTTTTGATGATGGCGTGTCAACTTCACTTGCTGGAAGATGGCCCGTGGCATATCTGGATGAAAAGGCCGAGATACAGCCTCGAAGTTCGACGTCGTATTGGACCTTGACTTCGGGTGATTTAGGAAGGCCGTAAATGCAGCAGCAGACGCGTAAAAGCGGTAGAGAGACCTGGCTTTGGCCGAGTATCGTTTACCATTTCCACTGCTTGCAACACAGTATAATTGACCTAAGCGCGACGAGTGTTGTCTCCTCGATTTCAAGCGATCTTGCATTTCCTGGTAGGTCTAGATCAGCACACGTGCTCACACGACTCCTTGACCAGCAACAGTGGGCACGAGCGTAGGAACGAATTCGCCTGCACGAAGGCATCGAGATCGGTTATCAACGAAGTCGGGCTTCTCACGAGTCTGTATAGCGACTCTCTCGTCGACCAATATCTAAGAGGGAAGCATGGTAGAGTGAGGTGAGGTGGAAAGAGGCTGTCGGTCCATTCCGCTGTGAGGCATGTAAAGGACGATAGGCAGGATCCATCGCAACGACGGCAATATGCATCGAAAGGGAATCGAATATTGGACAAGCTGAATGCACGATATCCTACCATTTCTATCATCACATATTGTCCCGTGGCCTCGCTATGCAATCCTGGTAATACATGTTCTATGGCAAACAGTCCTGACTCGTTCTTGGTCATTTCGCACTGTACTTGGTCTTGCCAAAGTCCCATGGTACATATCTGTCGCGTAAGTTAGCCTCTCTGATCCAGCCAGCTGAGCCTGCCACGTCTCTGCCTACCTGTACTTGATCATGCTCTGAATCTGCCGTCTCATGGTCAAGAAGACCAGGATCAGCCAATACACCACCAATACCGGCCAGAAGACTGGCAGATTGAAGATTTCGCTCCAACTGCACAGAAACGCAAGCCCGACCGCTCGTGTAGCAGAATGCCAGAATTTGAACTCCGGCAGTCTGCGCACGAATGGCTTGAACTCCTGGTCGTTCTTTGTAGGTAATGATGAAGCTTGTCCCGCTGGCACGCCATCCTCCATGTCCGTATCTTGCTCGAGTGAAGGGTCGAATTTCGGCGAGATGAACGCGAGGAACAGGTTGAGAAGGTAGATGCCCAGTGCGTAGGCCACTGAGTTGGTTTAGCATACTATACGTCTGATGCAATGCGAGGAGCCGTACCAATGTACCATCCTTGCGCGAACACTATGCGCATTGCGAAGAGGAAGAAGAGCACGGCTGTGCCTATCCATCGGTATGCGATGTAGGGTGTGGACTTGTCGAGATAGGATTGGTACATCTATTGCAAACTATTAGCGCAATGCATTGCGACTGCGATTGTCGCATATGCATACTCTCTGAAAGCGCGTGGTCTGCGCAGAGACTGCCGCGAATGGCGTATCTTCAGGTGGTGGCCCGTCCATCTCCGCCTTAGTCTTCGAGGTCAATGTGTAGGGAGGGATTTGTTCGGCGCAGACGGCGACTTTTCCGTGCTAGATCACGACGATCCGCAATGCTTTAGATACCAGAGAGTGTGGAAGTGTTATGATCAGGAGTGAAGGCAGAAGGCAGCCTCGAAGTCGACGCCTCATCAAAAGATTCAACGTGTCTGCCACTGGCCGCTGGTGCCGCCACAGCTTGAGCAGTCAGCGGCTCGTTCCTTCTTGCCTGCCAGCCCCGCCATCCAATCTCCTCTCCTCCACCGAAAGTTTCCCTCGGCCCAAGCTCCAAGCGAGCTGTCGTGAAAGCTGTTCCTGGTTGCTGTGCATTTGAACGAGATCTCGAGTATCGAGAATCAGACAACAACCATTTGAACGCACAATGGCTACCATACTCTGCTCCAGAATGCGACCATGTGCCACCCAATTCGGCCGCTTCATGCTGCCATTGAGAACCAGAAACTACTCCAGCATAACAGAGAACACATTCGAGCACATAAAAGTCTCAACGCCTAGGAGCGGAGTTGGTCTAGGTACACTCGGTTCATAAAACGACAAGAAAGATTGCCGTTAATACAGGTCTAGTCGAGATCAACCGTCCCAAAGCCCTCAACGCCCTCTTCACCCCCCTCATCCTCGAACTAAACACCGCCATGAAAGCCTTCGACAAAGACCCCTCAATCGGCGCCATGGTCCTCACAGGCTCCCACAAAGCCTTCGCTGCAGGCGCCGACATAAAAGAAATGTCGACAAAAGACTTCGCCGACTCCTACGGCACAGACTTCATCGAATCCTGGTCCGAGCTCCCCAACACGATCAAGAAACCCGTGATTTCAGCTGTAAACGGCCATGCTTTGGGCGGAGGTTGCGAGCTGGCCATGATGTGCGATATTCTGTATTGTTCTGAGAAAGCCAACTTTGGGCAGCCGGAGATCAAGCTTGGGGTTATTCCTGGGGCTGGAGGGAGTCAGAGGTTGACGAGAGCGATTGGGAAGAGTCGGGCTATGGAGTTGATTTTGACGGGGAAGAGTTTTTCGGGGAGAGATGCGTATGATTGGGGACTTGCGGCGCGAGTTTTTGAGACTCCGGAACAGTGTGTAGACGGTGCGTTGGATACTGCGGAGCAGATTGCGAGTTACTCGAGGATTGCGGTTAAGGCTTGTAAAGAGGTTGTGAATAAGAGTCAGGATTTGGGGATTAGAGAAGGTGTGGAGTTTGAGAGGAGAGTCTTCCATGGACTGTTTGGAAGTGAGGATCAGAAGATTGGCATGAAAGCTTTTGCAGAGAAGAAGAAGCCGGAATGGAAGCATAGGTGAAAAAGTCATATCATGATGTTATACAAATATCACTACACAGCGGCCGTCATATTGCTTGCCGGTCATATAAAGATCATGAGGCTACTTCCTCATACCCATGCCAAGATGGTCAGCAGTGCCCGTCTGCTGGTTTGCAATCTGGTCCTGAGCAGATACTGATGTGCCGCCAACAGTTGCGCCGCTTTTCTTATCGCCTGAGAGAAATTTCAGCGCGAACAATACTTTCTGAAGCAAAAAGATCTCAAGCCATACCATTAGCAAACTGATTCAAAGACTCGCTCGCAGCCGTAGCCTTCTTCTGCCTGCCAGACTGAGTCTCCCCAGCCATCATATCCCCAACAGCACTCGAAGCACCTTGCAATCCCGCTAGAACAATTTCCATCATCAGCACACTCACTTCTCTTCCTCATGTTCATCCTTCAAACTTACACCCATGCCCTTTCCACGCATTCTTCATATCCTCCGCCATATTTCCCAAATACGACGCCGTGATGATCGGATTTTGTGATTCTTGAAATTGAGAAATGGATTTTGTGGCTTCTTCGCCTGAGCAATGTTTCTTTGATCAATTCATTTTGTTTGTGAAAAGCTGGTATATTCAACTTGGTCGCCAATGTTGCACAAATGCTACGTCATTGTTAGCTCGCGTGTCATGCGCGTGTGGAAAAGTTGGCAAAGTGCAGGGTTTCGAGCTTGGGTATGGATGGTCATTAGGGAGCTAGCTATGGATGTCTTGCAGATTGCGCAATTGTGTCCTACATTGTGCTTTATTACGTTTTGGAGTGAGGAAGGGTTTGTGTAGAAGATGGAGTACGGTGATCTGCTAGCGAGAGATGGTATACAGAAAAGTGATGGACTTAGCTCGGAGATCTCAAGCAGACTATCCCCTGTAAAAACTCGTCGCCTCGGAGCGTTCGTCGGCAAAACTAGGATTCTGGTGGAGTTCTCATACAAAACACGTCTGTGCTAAGTTATGCAAAGCGGATTCGACCAACCAGATCCCCCAGATCTTATACAGCAGTTCTACGGACTTAACCACGGACTTCGTTTAGGGGATGTACGACTGTCGCGCCTTCGTTCTGCAATTCGTATCGCAGACAGTGCATCACTGGTGGTGTCAAACATCGGAGCGACGACCGCCAGTCTTGGCCGAGCCAAGGCCCTCAGCGCCTTTGCCTCGACTGAACCTACACCTTCGTCGATGGGTCCAGGGGTGTAGCTTTGGTGTTGGGAGGTGTACATTCTGGAGTTGCCATAGACGACGAATGTTGCAGCTGCTGTCATAAACCCTATCGAAGTTTGATTGTTTGCTCTTCCAGCTCATAGGTGAAACTCTCGCCTTGCGGAAGGCCTAGTATCAATGCTGTACTAAGAAAGTAGAAGCTATCATCGTCTAAGCCGGTAGATCGCACAATGTATGGAAGTCGAGAACCTCGACAGATGGCTACTTGATCGCCTTCTCTCATGATCGCAGGTCCAGAGCCGACAAGCCGGGAATTCAAGGTGAAGAAGGAGCGATTCTTAGAATTCATGGCTATGGAATCCCCAAGGCGACGTCTCAGCGAAGAACCGTCTTCACCAAAGTACATGTATCCAGTGTTAAGCAGGTTTCTTAAGTTCCCGGAGAGCTTGTGTAGCATATTGAGTGTCTGGGAAGATCAAGCCCCACCAGCCGCCAGTGAGCAAGACAACAGTGAGGCCGTCTATGATCTCCAGACTTTCTGCAAGTGGACTGATTATCTCCTGCACAGCATTTATCCTTGAAAGCATAATAGAAGGACTCTCTTCCAGTTCACCAAAGGTCTCTGCGATGCGCACGCGGTCCAGGATAAAGCCATTGATCGACAGGACGTTGTGATCTTCTTCAGGCATGATGAGAAACTCCTCGTAATCATCTGAAATGCCTGTCTCGTAGTCAGTCCAAGAGAACGGTGCATGCTCTTTCGAAGTTCTGGCACGATCCCATATCCAGGTCCACGATCATTCTGCCGTTCACAGTGATCCATCGTAGCGAGCGGGTGGTGGCCCAACAGTATGAGATCGTCTCAAATGGAGGTACAGGGCCGTCGTGCAATGAGTGAACGCTCAGAAAGCAACGCACGGGAGCATTTGCTTGTGCAGGCTCTAGGCCAAGACCCGAAATTGGTACGTCTTGCTCTTCCGGCCCATCTTAAGAAGCCGCTGGCTGTGACTCGGCGTGGTGTGTCGCTACGGTAGATTGCGTGCATGCATTATTGCCGCTTCGCGGTGGAAAGGCCGCCCGCCTTTCTGCAAGCCATTCGTTCTGATGCCGCTTCAGCATATTCGAATTACATCTGCCACATCGAATCGCCCGTACTCTGATGGAGGAGATGATGTTTTGAACGAGCACAGATTGGCTTCCAGACCCTGGTTGCCTGGCAAAGACGTCAACCGCAGAAGCATCTGTGCGCACCTCGGCCTGAACCTTCTTCACTGCAAGGATTCAACCCGCACAGCGCTCACAACCACCATGATCCGCTATGCTTGCCAGGCCGATGATGAGGATCATGAGGTCAAGATCGTCCATGCAGCGATCGAGCAGCATTGTCGCGACTGCATGAACGCGATCAACACTCGACACCTCGATGTGAACACGTACCCATGGACGAAAGTGGCTCCCGACTTCTATATGCTCAATCCCACGGGAGACCGAAGGCAAGCAGTATCTAGAGCGGACGCATTGCACGATCTACGACTCATCAACGAAGCCAATCCGCAACATCGTATACGTATCGCCGAAATGACTGTAAATATACGCCACAAAGACGGCGAGAAGATCGCAGAAGCATTCATGAACGCGGAAGTTACAGGCTTGCCAGGACTGGGCGAGGGTGTTGCTAGGAAGACGGTTTCAAAAGTTGAGTATAGACTTATTGATGGTGAATGGATGGCTGTCTCGGAGTCGACAATGGATGGCATGGGCGCTTTCATACATCCGTTGGGCGAATAGTACGCCCGTGATCCATCTTACACCTCTACCATTGGAGTTCATGAGAATTAAAAAGCCGATACATCCAGGTTACTGGTCTCTGCATTGAGCTCCAATGGCCACGTAAGGGGCGGGCGCGCTCGAGAGAAGGTCAAGCCATTGCTTGCGAGCGAAACAATGCAGCAGTCAATGAGGATACGATACATGGTGAGCGTGCATCACCTGCTGCGCTTGAAGGCCCTGGTCTTGTATTTTCGCCCGTCAAGCTATTGACGATTGTCAGACATGCATCTGAGGTCCTTGTTTTACAAGGACTTGTTTTAGACCTCTCTCGATCACCTGAAAGTGAATGATCTGCATACTCACCAGATACCGCTTTCTCTTGTAGTATTTGAAGCTCGATGCCGCGCTGCGGAACTCAGCACCTCACAAGGTGAAAGGCCATTCAAATCATCGGACGATATGATACTGCATTTTTGATCGGACCATCACGCCCACTACTGATTCGCTACCACTCAAGTTGTCAAGATGTCTCGGGACGGTGCACCACCAGCAAAGAGGATGAAGTACTCTGGCGACTTTGTCACAATTCGAGTCGGCACTGGCGCCGCGCGAGAGACGCCCACTATTCACGAGTACATAATAAGAGAGAAATCGCAAGTCTTCCGCGCTGCATTCGATCGCAAGTGGAAGGAGGGCCGGTCCCGCCAGGTCGAGCTGCCAGAAGATGACCCAAAGATAGTTCACAGCTATCTTGATTGGCTCTACAGTGGTATTCTTGAATAAGATCCAATGGCGAACGCGGGCCTCTACACTTCACTTGTGAAAACGTACCTTTCTGGAGAGAAAATTCTGGACAATGGTTTCTGCAATGCGGTCATGAGAGCTATCTGCGAAAAATGCGATCAGCGGTATGAAGATGGCAGGCGGCGCTTCCTTGAACCAGAGGACCGAAAGATGATCTACGAGAACACAACTCCTGGGTCAGTGATTGGGCAATTTGCTATTGATGTCACCCATCAGAGCGGAAATGTTAAATGGCTACATGGCGGCGTAGACCATCCTGACTACGTCCTGGATGTGGCTATAGCATTCCTTGCTTCCAAGTAACAAGCACCTTCGACACCGAGCCTTCTTTCCCAGCTGGATAGGTGGATGAAGAAATAGAGATCAATCGTCGACCCGATACGAAAAGTGAAGGAGAGGGTGAATTGAGAACACCCCAATCGCCGGTCTGCTCTGACAAGTGACAACAAGGAGTCTATTACTTTTCGCCATCAGGACCATCTGGGCTACTGCCAGCCATTTCCGTTGCTCGGCAATGCGACCATCCGACGGAAAGGGCTTTTATGGCACTACTTTTCGGATCGATGACTTCCGAATTGGGTCTTTTGGAAATGCATCTTCTGTTTCAGGCAACATTTCTAGTCCATTGGCATAATGCAACGTGCATTTTGGAGATTCCATCGTCGAATAGGGTCCTGGAAGACATAGTGTGGGGACATTCGCCAACATTTAGAGTTCAGTCGATCGTGTGCTCGCAAGACGTGGATTTTGGCATGTGATTGGTGTAACCTCTAAAGCCACGTGAAGTGCCTGGCCAATGTCTCTCCTCATCTGTTATACTTTGATCAACGACATCCACTGAAGCACTTCAATCTGAGAAACCAGATCTTGTCTACTATCTTTAGCACGCCATCTCGGCTGGACGATTGCACTCTCTACGAAAGATGTCCGAGAACAACTCCTCAAGCCTATTGAATGGAGCACCGCAAGCCATCCATGCTACTGACTGTTGATCGGCGCAGACCGAAAAAATTGCCAAGCCATCAGCAACACATATTGACCGCTTTGAATTCCAGTGTAGACATTAAGGACATGGAGTCTCGCATGCTATTTGACAGATCGCAGTGCGCCTTCAAAACGACTCGTGCTGGAAAAGATCAAATACTCAGTACAATATGCTATCAAAGGGCACAGATATCCGTATCACTCGGAGCGAGACGTGAGTACCTTATTCCTGCACAACATGTGAAGTCTTGTATGGCTAACAACTCCCGGACAGAATGATTGATGACCGCATTGTGACCCTCCGCGTTGGAGATACCTCGAATGGCTCAACTCGTGACTTCTCCATCCACGAGGCCATTCTCGCAGAATACTCTCCATATTTCCGAGCCGCATTAGACGAGAAGTGGCGAGAGTGCAGTCGAGTCATGGAGCTGCCGTTCGACGATATCGATATCGTTGCGGCATACGCTCATTGGCTTTATTTCAAACGCGTGGCCTCGAAGCTTATCTCTCCGCCAAAACTTTCAATGGACGACGGGGAATTCTTGATGTTAGCACGGCTGTACTGTTTTGGAGAGAAGGTCCAGGACGAAGCCTTCTGCGACGGTGTCATAACCGCGATGACGCTCAAGACCTACGATGTTGCAGAGGACGGCACGAGGATTTTTCCTGGTCATTGCGCTGTTATGGCTCTTTACAATGGTACGACAAAGAATTCGATTTCTCGGAAATTTATGGTCGATATGTATTGCGAGTTTGGTATGGATCTGTGGATTCCTGAGGAGGCGGAGTTGAATCATCCCGAGTTCCTCGCTGATTTGGTTCGGGCTTTTCTTGGTGGGCGGAAATCTATCGTTCCGCACATGCAAACTAATTTTCCTCGGAGACGAACTTGGCATAAGCGGCAGCAGAGCCGGGATGGAGTTAGTACTGGGGTTTAGGATGTTTCGTTCTCGAAAACAGTAGCTGCACTATGCTTTCCGTTTCATTTTCCTGCCCTCCTGCAAAAGTCGCCGGCGTGGAGAGGGTCTGAGTCGAAGAGTCTTGTTCCTCCGCTGCCCATGTCAAGCCTTGCTGTGACAGGACTGGGTTTGACGGCGCATGACTTTGCAGTAGCAGCGTGCCTGGTCGTTCTTGTACAACATCGCGAATAGCGTTGAGGAGGTGATTAAAGTTCAGCAAAAAAACACCAGAATCATAGCATCAGCTGAGGTCCGTCGTCGCTTGGGCAGCAACACCGCAGTCGGACATTAGAGCCGCATAAGGAGCCTTCCAATTCCCAGGAACTGCAAGCTGCAAACCCTTGTGCGACCACACGGCCCAGCCGCAAGGTTTTTGGGCCTGGTAAATGTCGTGCAACGTGCAAAGACGCAAAACGCCACCAACGTGTTTGATGTCATGCAAGCCTCTCTGTAACAATGCACGCTGCATTGTACAACCACATAACTTCGGCACAACGCCGGATTCATGCACTAAACAATAGCTGAGCATATTAAGGCGGTTGAACAACCAGGATAGCTTTTTTGTGCATGTGCTGGATCAAGCTGTTGCTCCAAGCGAAATCGTCCGATGTGGGTAGTTGGCGGTGAGCCTGAGCCCGGACTTCCCATCCGCTTGGGTCTTCTGGAAGATGAGGAAGATCGACGATCACACGTGGTGCCGTTTTGTGCTACGACTCATAACAAGAGGCTCATGCGATCGTGACATCTGCGTCTCCGCGCATAACACACCGCTAGCCCCATTCTCAGACAGTCGATCTCGTGTTCTCATCTTACCAACCCATGCTTGCCATGGCTTCCTCATCATCTGCAAAGTCGTCTAGGGGTTGGGGGCGAGTGGAACCCGCAGTGCTGGCGGCAGCATCTGGTGCATGAGTTGGGCCTTGCTCATTCATCAGTGCATCAAGCTCGTCTTCGTCGGGACCTTCGGCGAAAGCACTCGCTTCAGATGTCTTCGCCGTTTTTGCGGCTTCGGCGCCAGGCTGAGCAGGATGATTTTCGGAGAGAAGTGCATCCAGCTCATCGTCGTCAGACCCATCATCCTCGAAGGGGCCAGCCTTTCTTTGCTTGAGAACAGGTGCGGTTGTTGGTCCTGATTCGGCGAGCAATGCATCTAATTCGTCATCATCTGGAGCATCGCCTCCATCCTTTCCTGACGAAGCTTGCTGCGTAGTATTCAGATCTGTGGCACCTTCACCAGATGTCGAGTTCTGCCGTTCTGTATCATTGGCATCACCATTCGCGCCAGACATCATAAGGTCAAAGTCGGGATCCAACTCTGGCTCCGGTTGTGGTGATAGTCGTCTGTCTGGCTTCGTTGCATCTAGCCAGGCTCTCCTCATGACTTGCATTCGCTTGCTATGGCCCACTTTCTCCAACATAGTGAGCGCATCTCGAAACTTTGCTCGGGGATACAAGTCGTCTAGCCATAGCTGGTATGTGTTGAGCAGACGCGAAATATCTGAAAATTCATGCCCTTTGCCACGGAACTTCACGCGAGACTTGGTGATCTTGCGCAGCTTTGGAATGCCTGCTTCGGAAAGTAATCTGGTCTTGGTGAGCTTCATACGGCGAAGTATGGCAATATTTTCCTGACCTGTTTTCGTCGAGCTTTGGGATCGGTTGCCGTTTTTTCTTGACCTGCACTTCTTGATCTTCGTCCCTGGGCCGTTCCTCTGTAGCATTCGGGTTCTGCTCATTGCCTCGTATCGGAATGTCGTTGAGGAAGTCTTCTACTGCTGCATCGTATTCCAGTAATCTATCACGGTCATCAGACTGCGCAGGGCCTGCTCGAGGGTTCGGCGATACTGCTGAAGGCATATTTGCTGAAGAGTGTCGTGCTTGAGTAGACATTTGCGATCTTTGATACCTCTGGAGGACGCGACGCGACGCGACGGCGGTTGCCAAGGTTGGTCGGAACGAACCTTAACTCTGATGCCTGTCGAACCTGTCGACTTTTGGAGCAACGACATCTTGCCCTCCAGAACAACACGGACTTCCATCTGACGGTATTGGGACTGAAATCCCGTCTAACACAGCTATCGCTGATGATCGCACGCCAAGGTTACGCTCCCTCAGATCACACGCAATATCCGGGATCGCCTTTCCAGCCGGTCGGTGAAGCACCCATCTTGCAATCAATTCCAACACATGGCGATTTGAGTCAGTCTTGCACGGCAGAGTCTGACACAAAGATTTGTCAGTCGAGCCATGGCTGTGGCATCTGCTGCAGAGCTGGAGCCAGTGGCACGGGTGGCAACAAGAGTCAAGGCTCTGCTCCAACATGCCCGAAGCACAAAACCAGAGACAACAATCGAGCCTCCTCTCAACGCTACACACCTAATCGAAGACATCCAAGCGCTACATGATGTCTTTGACGGCGCATACGATCAGTCGTATCGTTTCTCTGCTGTAGAGACAGCATTCAGAGAGATATTTTATTCTCTCATACATTCTACCGAAATCCACGATCCGGCTTTTGGAGAAGTCTGGAACTTGCTGGACGTGGTTCTAATATGTGGCGATGAAGGCCGATGCGACCCTGGACTAGTATGCTGGCTGATCGAGGAGCTTTTGGACAGCCAAACAACGGAAGGATGCCGAACTGTCTTCGACTACCTGGACTCGCGACGAGAGAGGTTGGCTCAAAAGGACTTCCACAAGAAGAATTTGGTCTTTCTCAGAACTTGCAATGAGCTCTTGAGGCGTCTAAGTCGTGCAGAAGATGCGATCTTTTGTGGTCGAGTTTTCTTTTTCCTGTTTCAGACATTTCCCTTGGGAGACAAAAGCTCCGTCAACCTGCGAGGAGAGTTTCACACGGAGAACACGACGAAGTTTGAAGTATCAGCGCCCGTAGAAGGAGAACAGATGGACGTCGATTTCAAAACCGGAGAAACACCAAGCGACACAAAAGAAAGCACCCCACAACCTGCCGCTCCGACAAAACCTGGGAGCAAGGCGATCCCGATAAAGGCAGCTCCGAAGAAGGTAGCTGAAGAAGAGGTGTTGTCCACGGAGCAGTTATACCCAATTTTCTGGCGATTGCAGCACGACTTTTCCGATCCGACGAGACTTTTTGACAACGACAATTTCACGGTCTTCAAGAAGGGGCTGGCGTGCACGATTGCCAAGTTCAAGAAAACTCCCACGGTGGTTCAGACAAAGTCCAGTGTAGAGGGTAGGCGCGGTACCAAACGCAAGATGCACGGCGATGGGGGCGAAGAAGAGAGCGACAATACTCTCGTTGACAACTACAATCCCAAATACCTCACCAGCCGTGATCTTTTTGGCCTGGAGCTTAGCGATCTTGCCTTTCAGCGTCACATTCTCGTTCAAGCTCTAATTCTGATCGACTTTCTACTATCGTTGACGGAAAAGGCGAAGAAGCGTCTAAATGCTGTCTCGACCAACAGGGCTTTGATCCACGCCTTTGTCCTGAATGAGGAAGACGCGAAGTGGGCAACGTCTACGCGATCAACCATCACATCTCACCTCAACATGTCGAACGAAGGCCGCCATTACTGTCGTATGGTGGAGACCGTGCTGGCGCGAGACAAGAACTGGGTGCGGTGGAAAGTGGAAAGCTGTCCATCGATTGTCCGCGGACCTGTATCGACAGAAGAAGAGTTGCTCGCGAGGACTGGAGCGGCGAAGTTTACACGTCCACGTACCATCCCCGACAAGCCGCAAAACGTGATGAACCTCAGCTTCCTTGATGAGGTCACAGGCGGTGGTCTGGACGCCCTGAAGCATCCTTCTCGATACACCGCGCCGTCGATCGAGCAATTGGTGGAGCAAGTCAAGACCGACAAACTCGATGCAGAAATGGCGATGGACGAGGAAGAGAAGAGCAGTTACGAAAACGCTATTCAAAACGCGAAATGGCGGGCTTTGCGTCAAGCTCGAGCCACGAATTTGAGCTTACTGGATAAAGTCGAGAGCACTAAAGATTTGGAAGAGATCATGAGTCCTCCTGAGCAAGCTACTGAAAATGTTGAGGCCACTGAGAACACTGGTGAAGATACCAACGCTCCTGTATTAACCATTGCGGCTGAGGAAGCGGAGGAAGCAACGGCTGTTGAGACTGAGCCTGTTGCAGTGGTATCAGAAAGGGAAAGCGACAAGGTTATGGCAGAGGCGGAGGCGGCATGATCTGTAATGCGTTAAGTTGTATCATAGATCTTCGGACGCGAGCAGCAGATACTGTATCGGCGCGATGCCCGTTATTTATTTATTTTTTTTCCCTCCTTCAGCTCTTGACATTCATTATTCTGCTGGATTTGAAAGGGAGAGGGTAAGTAAGAGGCTTCAAAAGACGGGGCAAGCACCCCGACTGTTCTAACCCGGATAAGACATTGCTTCAGCCCCCTTTTGACTTCGGTTGCATCTTATCATACAACTGCAGTGCTGACCGACTTGCATCTGTGCTGGCGAAGGTGGTCCTTGGCGTCTGTCTTTAAGCTTCTTTTTTAGAAAATGTTTGAGGCTCGCTTGCGCCTTGCGTCTGGGAGGGAGAGGAGATGAGAAGCGTTGGTTGTACAGTCACAGTCACAGCGTGGTCTGGAGAGTGCCTCAGGATCGTGCAGCTGGGAAGACGAGGTGTACTGTACAGGAGTGTTGGGCGGCTGTCGTCGCTGTTTTGATGCCATTCATGGCCTGTGTCGGAGGCTCGGAGTGGCTGCCGGCGCCGGCGCCCCTGGCCCCCCGTCACGCTAAATCCTTGCGGACTTCCACAATGGTTCCTGGCAGAAAAGAGCCGTGCGCGACAATAAGCTTCCGGCGCGAGTTTTCGCGCAAGGCCAAATCTGACGCCATATCATGTCTTCGGTCTTCCTCCATACAGTCGAGGGTGAAGCGATGACTCGATGAGGGTGTGGTGGAGGCAGAGGGACGAGGGTCACGAGCAACAGCTTGCCTACCCACACCCGCCCATGGCCCTGTTTGAGAAGCGGCAAGCGAGCCAACCCCGGCGACTATCATACAACCTAATGGCCTCAAATTTCCCTGCAAGCGTCTCATCGTGGGCAGACTCGGCAGAGATTAATAATTGCGCAGGCAGCCAAGCAGCACAGCACAGCACAGCACAGCACAGCACAGCACAGCACAGCGCATACGCGCCAAACACCAGAGCCAGAGCCAGAGCCAGAGCCAGAGCCATCAGGAGTGCACGGTCGCGCTGCTTCTACAATCGACATTGTTCGAGAAATTCCAGGAAGGAGCACCCTGGCGACATGTCAAACGATAGCCGTCGGAAGTCGCTGTCCGCTGTATCACCACCACACCTCCAGCCGACCACTGCGCTGCTGCCAAACCTGGAAGCTGACTGCTCACACGTGAGCTCCATGTGCCGTTCTGCCACCGCCACTGCCACTGCCCCCCGCACCGCAGCCAGGCCAGACCAGGATCGAGAGACTTTTCCTCCCCTCCGTCATGTGTGCCTGGCCGTGGTTGTTGATCACGTTCAGCGTGTCTCGCCTCGCTCGCCTCGCCTCGCCTCGCCTGATCGCACGCTTGTCCCGACTGGCACACGCCGCAGCATACCCGCCGCCGCCAAAACCCATCGACCGCACCGGCAACGGCTGGCCTCCCGAAGAGGGAATTGCAGGTTCCAGAAAAGACGGTCTCTGCGACATAACATGCCCTCAGAGTCGTCTGAAAGGGATCCTGCCGCCATTTGTACGGCACGGCACGGCACGGCACGGCCCGGTCAACCACCCACCTGATCGACTCACCCTACCCAGGACCGTTGAAGATCTCTTCCGTGCACCGTAAATTGCCCGTGCGAACGCATTTGACTGGGGTGGATGGACGGCATTGCCCACACTTGATCATCCGTTGACGCTCTGGCTACATCGATATCCCACCGAGGAGACGGGCCTCGCTGGCAGGGCTCGTGACCGCCCAACCCACGGCCCGGCTGGCGTGGCGTGGCGTGGCGTGGCGTGGCGTGTGGGCTCTCTGCCTGGGCGATGGACGAACCACGGAGACGCCAGCACAAAGCAGCAGATTCCTCTGTGTTTCTCAGATGCGGCAGCTGCTTTCCTGCAGGAGCAATGCCACAGGTGCACCAGGCGGTCCACCCCGCAGAGCTCCATGCCAGAGCTCATCCACCCCTACTAGCACAACCGGGCTTCAACGGCTATCTCGCAGCCAACCACATGAGGCGAGAACGTGCGTTGTGACAAGGGTCCTTCGCCATGCGATCCACCGGTCCCATCGGAGGCTTTCTAGCCTTGTCGGACGGGCACTGATCCACCCCATGTGAGAGTCTACACTTCGCAGAATCGCTTCCGTCTGGGATCGACTCGGCAGCATGGCGGACCTTTCGTCGTTTCTGGTTGGCGACGCTCTTTCGGCTCTTTGGCCGCCTGCGTCCGCAGCTTCGGTGGCTCCCGAATATGTTGGAGATCCAACCTCGCCTGCTGTTGCCCAGCAGCTGCTTGTTTGAGGAGTGATGCTTGCATGCGCCTACACACCGTCTCTGGATATCAAGATTAAGGAACGGTGCCACAAGCTGGCACATTCCGCCCGTTCTTGCCCACTCACCAGAGTGCAATCAATTGACCATCTATCTGCTTCAACAGAATCCGACAGTCAGGCTCCCGATCATTTGGCGACGATAGCATCGCGCTTGTAGAATCTTGTGTGGAGGCATTGCCTGGCCTTCGCGAGCGCACTACCATTAGTTCAGACAACTTCCCTGTGCAGTCGCCTCGAGCCTCGAACGCCATCCATGAGGATCCACCCCGGTGCAAGACCTTTACTGCCTGAAAACCTGAAGTATCTGGCTGTCGGCTCGAGGCATCATCGATAGTGACAACATCAGCCACAATCTGTCGACCTTGACCTATTCTCGACCGCTCGATCAATCAGCCTTTTCGAGTTTCTACGCTTAACACGCCTCCTCTCCCCAGGCACAATACCTTGCTCGGCTTTTCCAGGGACGGCCCGGCGACCCAAGGCACGAACCCTCGTGGGAGCTGGGAGAAGATCGGATCGTGGCCAGTCGACACTGGCTCGAGACATTCGGCAGTCTTTGCATAGTGCAGCACAATATCCTTGTGCATGACCTTGAGAACGGCCTTAAACCCCAGAGAGACGCTTTCATCGTCACAACAATACTCGCTCTCTCTATCGATTCTGGACAGGACACAGCAGCACTGTCGAGTCAATCCATCGCGGAGAATTTCCAGTCGACGTTGGTTCTCGTTACTGGGAATTCCATTGGTCGATGCTACTTGGCGGGTGACTTGCTCTGATACAGTATGTCGAGGCCGCCCTGGTAGATCGTATCGTGCTGACATAGACCAGAGCACCACCCACGTCTCAAATGGTTGAAGAACGGTATCAGGTGCCATTATCGCCGCCAAGTTCTCCGCGTATGTCGGACAACGCGACAAAGACAGGCGACTACCATCACGGTCCGCATCACCTGCATCATGCATCGAGTGGTCCTACTTCGGACTACCAATCCTACCAACGCGATCGCTCAATCCCGCCTCTACGATCGTACAGAAATACACCTTACCCTTTGGGATCAGGCGCTCACTATGGCCACGAAGGCAATACTTCAGCACCATCGACGTACGATGACCGACAGCTGCTCTCAGATCCGCATTCAATGGGACCAGCAGACTTGCAGTCATCGACCTACGACGATTCGACACCCGCAAGTCTGGTAGACCGTCTGACTCCTCGCTCACCTGGTGCCAGCAACAAAGATCAAGCAGATGACGACGACCTTGTAGATGATTTCGGAGGCGAAGAGCCTGAAGATGAAGGCGAAAGACCGCCAATGACTGCTGCTGAGCTGCGCGCTCAAAAAAGGAAGATGAAGCGTTTTAGGTTCGCTCACAGCCTGGTGAAGGAACATTTTTGGGCAGCAGCGCTGACATTACCTCAGACTCACGCACAACCAGACTCGCTTCCTATTGAGCGAATTTGCTCGGCAACCACATCCAGATGCTGCGCAGCGCGAAAGGTTGGCGCGAGAAATTCCTGGGCTAAGTGCCAGGCAGGTGCAAGTATGGTTCCAAAACAGGTGAGCCGTGCGCACGAAAGCACGTCACATCGAATGCTGACGCCTTCGCAGACGGGCCAAGCTCAAGAGATTAACGCAAGACGACCGCGAGCGAATGATGAGATCCAGAGCTCTGCCATCAGGCTTCGACACAACTCAAGCACTGCACTCTCCATTCGGCGCACAACCTCCATCGATGGGAGCGCCAATGTCGTCGTCAATAGGAGGGTTTGCAACATATGGTGACAGCAGCGCAGTACGACCATTGACTTTAGACACTTTGCGACGTGTTCCTGATTACGAGCAGTATGGACAGCAGTATTCCAGTCCAACTGGTGTCAGTCCAGCATTGGGCGCATTTGCGTTCACTCCACCGCAGTCGACATCGGACCATCTCTCGCCTGGTTCGGCGACCAGCAGCATGTCTCCCTACGTTCTTCAGCAGCAAGTCCCGTACGAAGCTTCACGACGACCGCCCACAGGTCTACCATCTTCAGGCCACACGCCATTCACGAGTCAACCACAGCTCCAACGACTACCTCTGCATGAACGACTCAACAGAACGATGGGCGAGAGCACAGGATCGCCATTACGAACCAGCGTATCATATTCGACACTTAACAGCACGAGCACACCACGGCACATTCCGGAGCGAGCAGCGTCATTCTCAGAGCATTCTGTCACCCAGCCAAGGCCGCAACTACAAAGTATCGGTAGTCCTAGTGGGGAACCAGGACCGTATGGATTGGGCTTTTCATGTGCGTATCTCTGCTCTACAGCAGGGCGAAGATGCTAACGGCGGACAGATTCTCAAGTGCCACAGTACCAGCAGACAAACTCGCAGCAGCAGAACCCTCTAGGCGGTCAAGTTCAACAGGCGACAGATACAGATCAATTTCGACGACCAGCATACAGCGCATACCCAGCTTCGACATACCGCACATCTCACGTTCCGCAATACGCGGGCTACCCTACCCCCTACTCCTCGCAAAACTACTCCAGCGCTTACGCCCAACATGGCCAAGTAACCGAACCAGTGTCAGACTCACAACCTGGTCAGCCCATGCATGAAGCTCATCAAAATGCGGCCGGAGCTTCTCATCCATACATGCTCAGCGCCTACAACGGACATCGAGTGACGGAGAGTCAGGGCCATGACGGCGGCTATTAGATTTTTCGACAGGCCAGGCCAATGGAGACCTATACTCAAGACGTGACTCCTCCGATCCCCAATACCACCTTTGGGTGTGTTGTGCCGCCAACATTCACCTGCACCAGGCATACAGCGCCTTCACGCATCGGAAGACTATCAAATTTTCCCATTTCTGGCTAGCAAGGGTTTCAACCGAATTGAATTCTCGGCTTCGCTGTTAGGCGTAAAGGTCATGGTAGCCCTCCGATGGGTGAAGACGCTGTATCTGCAGCATCCGGGCGAGCGACACAACACTATCGATGCCGAAGTTGCACATTCAGATTTTCGCGCGGTTCCTGGTCCTGGCCAACTGTTTCTTCTTCTTTTCACTTCAGGCCTTACGACGCAAAAATCTCTCGGGCCTTTTATCGAAAACTCGGATGCGCACCCATACGACATTTTGAGTCTTTTAAGCTCACGCGACATGGCATGATACCCACTGTACGTAAGGTACAGTCGCGGCTTTTACTTTATCTCTTCATCTTCTGGACGCATTGGATGGGATGGGATGGGATGGGATGGGATGGGATATAGGGTAGTATTACTTAACCTTGAGGTTTGTGTTGGTTCTATAGATGATGATAAAGATGAAGACTTTTTTTCCCAAAGGATAGAAAGATACGGCTGCACTCACACGATCAAACCTTGGGTTTCTTGCAAGAAGTGTATCGTATTGTATCGTATCGTATCGTATCCTAGCTAGTATCGGACCGAGATATAATTTAAGTATCCTCGTTATATTAAGCGAATAAAAAACTAAAAGTAGATCGTATATCCCCTTTAGACTAAAGAATAGGATATGCTATCGTATCTGTACTATTCTTCTTTTCGAAGAATTCTAGAATTATCTTCGTACTAAGAGTAGACGAAGATAAAGTTCTTACTAAGAGAGATTAGTATATTAGTTAGTTAGTTATATAGATTTTATAACTAGAATTCTTATTATATATAGAGGTAGATATTAATTAAAGGATAGGATAGGATAGGATAGGATAGGATATTAAGATTAATAATTAGTAATAGGTTTAGTTTATTATAGCCTTACGGGTTTAGTTAGTTTATTATCTATAGGAAGTTAGGTTTTCTCGAGGAGGTTAGATATAGGATTTCGAACTTTAAAGAAGGAAGGTAGGTATAACGTTATAGTATAAATAAATACTATAGTATTTATACTTACTCGAGGGTTTAGTTCGGTATAGCGGCCGATTTCAAGTTTAAGCTCTTAGGGAAATAGCTTCGGTTATTAGCGAATATATAAGTTAGTCGTTATTGTTATTATTATAGGAGTGTCGACTGCTACTCTAAAACCTAAGCGTAAGATTAGAGGCCTGTCTCTAAGCTTAAGGCCCTAGCTACGGTCGGCTGATAGAGTCGGAGTCGTGCGCTACAGGCATGCGATACTATAATAATAACATTGTTCTAGAACAAAGTTTGCGGTCTAATATCTACGTCGCTTGAGAGCAGGTGGCTTGGATAGGACTTGGACTACTATATATATATAGAGGATAGCGTTTTAGAATTCTAAGTACTATCGTAGATCTTATACCTTATTAGGGCTAAAGAGGCTATACGTAATTAGTATATAACTAAGCTAAGTAAAGCTAGGGTCTTAGTGCCTTAGGTAGGGCTTAGCGCTTAGCGTTAGGCTAACTCTCCTACCTTCCTCCCTCTCCTCCTAGATCTCTATCGAATACTATACTAATTTACTACTACCCTATCTACCTGCTAACATAACCCTTCTTATATAGTATTCGATCTACCCTTTAAGGGCAGTAGCTAGATAGTTCTTATTTCAAGCTTTTAGCGGTATAGCTACGAACAAGACTAATCTAACTATATTACGCCCGAAGAACGGGACCTATACGTACTATTCTATCGAAACAACCGTACCAATTATTAAGCAAGGCCTTCTATACGGCCTATTACACTAAGTTAAGTATACTAGACCGATATCTACTAATTCCGCTACATCCGTATCTTAGGGGCTAATAATATATTATTAGTGTCGCCTCTTATAATAGCTAGTTTATTACGAAACAACAACCGTGCTACCGCTAGCAGCGCTAGCAATAACAACGCTAGTAGCATAGTGCCTACTAAAGTGCCTACTAAAGCACCTACTAAAGTGCCTCCTACCGAAGAGCCTACTATAGGACCTACTAAAGAAGAACCTATAATTCTAGGTAACGACCTAGAATTGCCTGTCGACGACATTCTTAATAATATTGTTAACCGTCGATATAGCTAACTAGCCTTTAGCCCCTAGCTAGTAGCGAGGCTTTAAGAAGCTACCTAAAACAGGCTTACTGCCTTACGTTAAGAACAATAGCTAAAGGATAATCTTCTCGAGATTCGCCGCCTCTAGGAATCTCTAACAACTACTACTAAGCTAATAGTAGGACCTTCTTTACTACCTATCTAAAAGAAGGATGCTAAACTTAAGGACTATATCGTATTTAATAGCTCTAGTCGGAAGTAGTACAACGACTACATTCGTAACTATAAACTTAACTAGCGCAACGTACTAAGAGCGCTACTAGACGACTATTCCTTAGTCGTATACGCTATATAGTACATTAATAGCGACCTAAAGCGTATATAGGATAACCATTTTAACTCCCTTAACGATTAGACCGCTATTTAGTAGCAGACCTACAAAACTATTATACTAGATACCCTTAGAAACCCTATACTAAGGCAATAACATACTTAGGACCTATATCTTCGAGCTAAACAGAAGACTAATTAATCGGCTCGCTTATTCGAGGCCTATTTAAAAACCCTTAAAAACGACCTTCCGCCTAAGACTAATTCTATATAGATCTCCGAGATACGCCTAAAACTTAGATAGGAGCTTATCCTCGAATTAGACCGTCGCCGTGTATTCGAACAAGCTAATCTAATACGCATTTAATTTATAGTCGAAGTAGAAATAGCCGAACGGGCTGTTTAGCTCTAATAACGACTAGAATTAAGGTCTAAGGATCCGACTAACTAGTACTAACCGTAGCAACCGTAGCCGCGGAGGAAACTAAGGTTCCTACTAGGACAATAATGCTAATAGTAGGAATAGTAATAACGACCGTAGAAGAGGCCGTAGCCGGCGGCTATATAGAGGAGGCCGTAATAGGGGCCGTAGAAGGGGCTCGTATCCCTATAATACTAACCGCTCGGCTAATAATAGTAATAATAGCTACGGTAGTCTACTAACCGGATTAAAGTGCTTCAATTGTAATAGTACTAGCTATCTACTAGGCTAATACGACAAACCTAAGGACTAGGCCCGAATTAACCGTGCTTCCGCTAAGTATAGGAAACACCTTTTAGCCGCTAATGCTACCCTAGTCGGCTTTTTTAATTAGTCGAAAAAAGAGTAAGCGCCGCACTAACTATTAGCCTTATGCGGCGTAAGACTATCGACATCGTGCTAGCTATAATACGCTCCTACCTTGTATAGGATACGAAGGGCACTAACTATTAAACTAAGGTTATACTAGATCTAGGAAATTCAGTTAGTGCCCTTATTAGCTATCGCCTAGCTAAGTAATTAGACCTTTAACAACTGCCGAGGACTAACCTACTAACCCTTGCTTAGTTTAATAACGCTCGGCACTTAACCTATAGAGCCTACTATATCCCTATAGTTCTAAAGGACGACCTCGGAAATGAACGCCTACTAGACTTTACTGCCTACGTAGTAGATATAGACAACCTATATAGGGGAGCTACTATTGTTATTAGCAACCCTATTCTTAAGTACTACGCTATAGCTATAGACCTAGGCCTCTAGAAGTAGCGATTTAGAATCGCTAGGAAAGAGGATATTAAATATATTAATATTAGCGAGTGCCCTAACGATATCCGGGTCCTGTTTATTAGCAACCTAATACTAGCCTCCGCCTTAGCTAATCCGACTGCCGATCTGCTTAGTAGCGATAACGATAAACCTGTGCCCCCTAATAATCCTAATTAGCTTGCTCGTATACTAGAGCCTATCCGAGAGACTTATATTAATGTATTTAAACACTACCTAGCATCGACATTGCCTATATTTAAAGAGACGGATTATAAGATTAATATTATAGAGGGTAAGGAGGTTCCTTTTAGACTACTCTACAACCTTAGTAAGCGCGAGCTTACTATATTACGTAAGTACCTAGAAGAAAACCTAGCTAATAGTCGTATTCGGTATAGTAACAGCCCTGCTAGTATACCTATCCTGTTCGTACTAAAGAAGGATAGTAGCCTGCGCCTATATATCGACTATCGTAGGCTTAATACTGTTACTATTAAAGACCGCTATCCACTCCCTCTTATTAATAAGACCCTCGATCGCCTTTCTAGTACTTACTACTATACTATATTAGACATTAAGGACGCCTATTACCGCATCTGTATTTATAAGGGCGATAAATAGAAGACAGCCTTCCGCACTCGCTATAGCTATTTCGAGTACTTAGTTATACTATTTAGGCTAGCTAATGCCCCTATAACATTCTAGTCCTATATTAATCGGGCCCTTTCGGGCCTATTAGACTATCTCTATATAGTTTACCTAGATAATATCCTAGTTTATATACATTTACCTAATATTGTAGAATACTAGGCCGTAGTACGTAAGGTCCTCGACCGCCTACGAGCCTATAGCCTATATTGCAAACCTTCTAAATGCACCTTTGCTACTAAAGAGGTGTCCTTCCTTAGCTTCCTCGTATTAACCGAGGGTATTAAGGCTAATCCTAATCGGATTAAAACAATTACTAAATAGCCTATTCCTACGTCTATTAAGGAGCTTTAATCGTTCCTCGGCTTCGCTAATTTCTACCGCCGTTTTATTAAGGGCTATTCGAGGCATGTAATACTATTAACTAAGCTTACTAAAACTAAGGCCAACCCGTCTAGAGAATTCAAATAGACCGACAAGACATAAGCCGCTTTTAACGGTCTAAAGTAACGCTTTACTAAAGTCCCCTTATTATACTATTTCGTACTAAGTAAGTAGATCCGAATTAAGACTAACGCTTTATAGTTCGCTATATTAGCTATTATGTTACAATAGGCTAATAATACCTATTAGCACCCGATTGCCTTCTTTTTACGAAAGATAATCGATATAGAGCGTCGCTACGAGACCTATAAGTAAGAGCTCCTAGCTATTATCGAGGCCTCTAAGCATTAGAGGCACTATCTCGACAGCATATAGCACACTATTTAGGTCTATATAGACTATAACAACCTCCGTAGTATTACTAAGGTTACTAGGGTTATAGGTCGATAGGCTAGATAGGCTGTCTACCTCGCCGGGTTTGATTTTAATATATTATATCGGCTAGGCGTAAGCAACCCTACTAATAGCCTATCGAAGCGACCTAATTACGATAGCGAGACCTAATATATTAATTCTTTGTTTCTAACCCTATAGTACAAGATTGCTATAGCCTGTATTATTAATAAGCAAGCGTAGGATAAGCGGACTTCCGGACCCCGCGGCGGTAACAAATACTATAGCGGAGTTGTCGTTCTTCTAGTGCGCGTTAGAAAGGACGTAGATCGCTCGAGCTATAGTAACTCGATTAAAGATATTGCTATCTATAGTAATAGCCTATATAGCGATAGTACTATAGAAGAGGTTATAGTAGTTCCGGCTACTAGTACTACTAGATGCATATAATGCGTACCTCGTTTAATAGCGAGGGTACTATTAAATAACCTTGTAAATAGGGATAGTTAATCGTTTATAGATAAGCTATTACGTACTTAGTAGAGGGACGCCTTTGCTATTAAGCGTATTAATAGGCTTGTAAGTAGGCGGGCGACTCGATCTAGTAAGAGTAATAACAATTAGTCGATCGACGATAAGGGTTACTTAAAGTTTAAGGGCAGATACTATGTCCCCGCTAAACAATCGATTAGATAAGAGCTTTTAAAGAGGCACTATAATAGTAAGCTCGCTAGTTACTATAGCATAGAGAGGTCGTACGAGTTACTATCGCGTATATACTACTAGCTAAATAGTAAGCGGCATATAAAGGAGTATATATAGACCTATATAGTATACTAGCGAGTTAAAGCACTAAAGCACTTACTATTTAGCGAGTTGTCTTTACTCCCTGTTCTAAAGAAGCCTTTTATAGAGCTTATAATAGACTTTATTATAGGTCTTCCCCCTACTAAGCGAAGAGGAAGCAAAGACGTCTTTAACGCTATACTAGTTATTATAGACCGATTTACTAAGGGTGCTCGCTACATTCCTGCTCGCAAGGATTAGACTACTATTAATATAGTAGAGGCGCTATAGACTAACATCTTCTATACCTATTAGGGAACCCCTAAGGGGATAGTCTCCGATAGGGGCTCGATATTTATATCGTACTATTAGAGCGAAATATGCCTATAGCTAAGACTAAAGCATCGGCTATTAACAGCCTTCTATCTATAGACTAACGGTTAAATAGAGAGATAGAATGCTACCCTATAGCAGTACCTACGTAGTTATATTAACGAGAATCCTAAGGATTAGGTTAACCTCCTATAGCCTACAGAATTCGTATACAATAACAGTGTATACTTATTAACTAAGGTTTTACTATATATAGCTATAGTAGGTTAAAACGCCGCGTTGCTATAAGATCTATTTACCTCGCTCGAGGCCGAGCGTAAGGAAAGGGAAGCGCGTTAAGTACTAGAGATACTAGTAGCAATAGAACGTATCTAGAAGATGCGAGAAATCTATACTAAGATAGCTAAGAAGTTAACAAAGGCTTAAGAATACTAAAAGGCCTACTACGATAAGCGTTATATACTAATAACCTTTAAACAAGGCGATATAGTTATACTTAGTACTAAGAACCTCCGCATCCGCAAACACCTATCGCCTAATAGTAAAACAAGGCCTAAGCTCGCACTAAGATATATTAGCCTATTTCGCATCCGAGAACCGAAGGGTAATAGCTAGGCCTACTAGTTATAGCTTCTACCTTATTATACTATCTATAATACCTTCTATATCTCCCTCCTTAAACTATACTACTAGCGCGAAGGCGATGAAGCACCTACTAAATCCGAGGACATACTAGCTAATAGCGAAGAGCTATAGTCTATAGAACGTATCCTAAAGTATCGGACTAGATAGGGCAAGAAGGAGTACCTATTAAGATAGTAAGGCTATTTACCTAAATAGGACTTATAGGAGGCTAAAGACTCGTTTAAGGATATAACTAAGTTGTTAGATAAGTATTAGACTAGCGTAAAGAACACAAAGAAGGCTAAGAGCTTATAATGCCTATAATGTTACTACTAAGCCTAGGAACAATACTACCCCCGAGGTACTATTAGCTAACTAATTAGAGGCAAGCAATTGTTAGTAATAAAGGACAATAAGACTATACTACTATAGTAAACGCGCACTAAGTGTTAATAAGCGCGCTATAACGCGTTAACTATTCGCTGCTCTTTTAGGAAACTACCTCTCTACTAACGCGCCCTACGAGGCTCTTCTCCTAGTATTTAGGTCCCCCTCTTATTCCTTTATTCTATTAAGGCCTCTAGGCCTAAGCGATCGGCGAAGACGGCGTCGCGCTTGTAACGGTACGGCCGGCGCGGCTATATTAGTAACGGTATTACGGAGTATATTATTAGTCGAAGAAAGAAATCGAAAGTAAGGTAAAGTTAGCGCTAAGACGACTAGCGTCGCTATTATTAATATTACCTAGTCGCTACTATTATTAACCTTACCTGCACTACGAGCCTAAGGCACCTTTAATCAAAACTTTAATTAAAACTTTAAGGCTAAGTTAAAACTTTAAGCCGCCTAAAAGATTAAGCGACTAATAGACTAACTAAGGGCAAAACTATAAAGCTAAGCTAGCTAGGGTCGATCTTACGGATAATAGGTTACTCCTCGATCTTTCTAACCCTTTAAGCGAGGCGAACCTTAACTACTACACTTATAATAGCCTTTATTTATAGAAACTAGACGAGCTATGTTTTTTCTAAAAAGTAAATAATAGCCCTCGTAATAATAAGAACAAATCCTCGGAAGTAGACAACCCTCGGAAGCGGACATTGCTAGGTCTTTTAAGAGTAGACGTAAAGAACTCGATACAATATTACTTAGAACGGAGGTAGTACTATAATACCTCGTATATCTACCTATTATAGTAGGGAAGACGCGCTCGTATTATAATTAGTCGAAGGCCTTTAGTTCTTATAGATATATATCACTTTATAGTTTATTGTATATAGAGATAGCGTAGTTAGAGTTGTATATTGTATTATTTAGAGGTAAGGTTTAATATAGTTATATAATTAGGTAGTTAAGTATTTAATTTAGCGCGGGCTAAGCAGCTTATTAGACTTGCTAAGTTAGCGGCAATAGAGGTCGTAGAATATAGACAGGCTACGGGGGCGCGGCCTTTAGAAGGGAAGCGTATATCAGGGCCAAAGAGGCTATACGTAATTGGCATATGACTAGGCCAAGTGAAGCCAGGGTCTCAGTGCCTTAGGCAGGGCTTGGCGCTTAGCGTTGGGCCAACTCTCCTACCTTCCTCCCTCTCCTCCTAGATCTCTATCGAATACTATACTGATTCACTACCACCCTATCTACCTGCTGACATAACCCTTCTTACACACCTTGGGATGCTTTGAATTTCGCTGTGGTCAGGCTGCGGTGCGGCCACTTGTGGAAGGATGGGAAGGGAAGGGAAGGGTATCACGTGACGTGTGCAATGCTTGAGGTTCCAGTGATTCTAGCGCGGTTCTTGGAACAGAAGCCGGCATCCCGGCGGAGCGAAGCCACAGGACAGTGATCCGCTTCCATGTCCCTGGGTGCCGGATGGTTTCAGGATGATCTGGTGCTTTTTCGAGTCCGATGGGGGGTGTCGATTGACAGTCGCTATCGTACACTCCTCTGCTCGCCATGAAAGAGGAGTTGGACTCGGAGGAGCTGTCGGATTGATCGTTGATGATGTCGTCGACTGGCCTGGCGCGTGTTCTGCAGGGTGCATGCAGGGCTGCTGGCTGGCTGGCTGGCCGGCAACTCCTCAACGAGCCCCATTTCCCATTTGCTTGTTCCGGCTACGACCCACGCGATCCGCCTAAGACACGGTAGATTTTGCGAAATTCCCCGGCCAGTCTCTGCGTGTCGAGGTCTGCTGGAGGTCCAGAGAAGCGCAAAGACTTTGGCCCGTGTTGCCAGCCAACGGACACTGTTTGCCTGGAGGCGAACAGGAGAGCTGGCATGACGAAGAGTTTCGCAAGGCCGCTGCAGAAATGTTGCGTTGCTTGGCTGTGGCGCACGGCCAGCTGGTAGACGTATCAATATCATCATCATTCATGCAAGCAACTGCAGCTCGCCGCGCTCCTTCGGCTTTTCGACGTGTCAGGCCTTTGAGTCATTATTATTATTATTGTTGCTGCTTGCATGTGACGCTCTTGACACTTCCTCTTCGGTCCATCAGGTCCCCAAATAGCTCTACATGCGCAGCCCGAAGCTTATGAGCACACAAGGCCGCGCCGCGGAGCACCGCAGACATCTCACCCGCGAGCAGGCATCCTCAGCAGACGTGTTCGTGTTCTGTGGGATGGCGGGCTGCCTTTCGGTGTTAATAAGGAGGATCATATGCACAAACGCGGGCGGCGCGGACGTGCGTGGAGCGCCAGATTTTCTCGAAGAAGCAACAATTGTTGTTGCCTCCTAACAAAGAGCGAGGCGAGCTGCTCCGTGAACGTCTAGCACCTTACTTACATATGTAGCGCCAGTATTGTGTGCCACGAGATGTACCTCTCGAGCCGTTGTCCGCCCAGTAGTAACAGTACATTGTAAGGTCATGTAAGGTGCCGCCAGTGCAGCCACTGGTGCAGCAGGGATGTCGAATTTTGAAGCCGCAAACAACGCGTGCCCAGCGACAACAACATGGTAGAACGTGGGCGGTACAGAAGCCATGTGAATGCGAGCAATTCGTCGATGATAGCAGCGGTATGGACTTGTCACAAGCACGATGAGTCGGCGAGTGAAGCACAGAATCGCCGTATTGATCATCAAAGTGAGCAAGTGAAAGGGCGAATAGAGTTTTGGTCGGGTGTATGCTTTCTCGGCTGTGACCGTTCGCTCCTTCCCTCGTCTCGCCTCGCTCCCTGTCTTGAAAAAAGTGTTGCTCTCCTCTCTGCCATCTCGCTCGTCGACTCGACTCGCAGAGACAGCCATCCCGTCTCACTGAGTGCATCCTCACCACGAGACACACTCCCCTCCAGAAAGCAGACCAAGTTTCTCGCGTGCACCTCGCAGAAACCGTCCTTTCGTCCCGACCACCACCGCCGCCGTCGCCGCCCGCCGCAGCGCAGCGCAGCGCACACCAGAGACCTGAATAATCTCTGCCGCGCCTCGACACTCCCCAGTCTCCAGACGTCGCGCCACCCTCTCCGCTCCGCCAACGAGCATCTAATACCGTGCACGCCGGATTCGACATCCCCAGTCACCACTCACCGTCCGTCGACACTTAATTGCCATCGCTCGACTGCGAAAAGTCTGCCATATCGCCCACGACACGCCAGCCCGTACGCACGTGTCGACTTCACATCCGCCCGCTCATGACCAGCGCAATCTCCTCGAGCTCGCAAAACCAGGTGTCTGCCAACGCAAGCTCGAACGCTCTCTCCGCCGACAGTACGTCCTCGTCGCTAAGCGGAGCTGTGCCGGCACAGTTCCCAGCGAGGTCGTACGCAACCGCAACCAAGACGGCCACTCCACCCACCTTGGCTGGAGCCTCCGCGCCAGCGCAAAATGCAAAGCCGACTCCAGACGCTCACATGAACGGTGCGATGGCGCAGAACGGCTCTCAGACTGCCAACGGAGCTCCCACCGGCAGCGCAAACTCCACCGACCACGGCCGCAAGCCCTCGGTCGTCATCAACGCTTCCGGCGCATCAGGCAACTACCCGAACGGCGGCCCTGTCCAGAACGGCAGCAGACCTGCCATCAGCTTCGGCTCCATGAACACTTCTGGCGCTGAAGCGCAGCAGAACGCGCCTTTCCACGCTCAAAATGCTTCACTTTCTATCCGTGGCGATAACCCGCTAGTGATTTCGCCAGCACATTCACCATCGCCAATTCCCCCACAACCCGCAGCAAGCGGTGGAAGACCTCCATCAAACTTGGCAAACAACAGCGGCGCGCTCGCTTTTGGCAGCATGGGCCCTGACACCGATATGGTTGGTTCATATGCAATGTCAGCTGACATCGGATATCCCATGCTGACTTATTCACAGATGCGCAACCAAGTGCCAATGCCAGCACACGAGCGCCGACCTTCTTCACAGTCAATGGAGCACTCATACTCGAATCAAGGTCGAGGAGGATTTGCTGCTCGAGGTGGTCGCGGTCAAAGCTTCACGCCTGCTCAGCAGCCCTTCATGCCATCGCCAAGACAGCAGTACGCGCACCCCATGCCGGGTCAACCGCAACGACAGTTCCAGCAAGCAGCGCCAGGCTCGCCGTTCCAACACGGCCGACAAGCTGGAGCCAGACAGAGTCCTGCACCAATGCACGCTCAACCTCACATGGGACAGCAGCAGATACCCTACCAAGGATATTCGCAGCTGCATCCACAACACCAAGTAAATCTCTCCCTTTTTCCCTCCCCAGCGTTGTCGACTTCGCGCTCTGCATCAGCAAGCTATCTCCGCGGAACCGGCGCCTCGAGCGACGACAAGCGGGATAGCCCAATGGAGCAGAGCGCTGTCCCGGCGAAGAAGAGAAATACTTCCAAGCCAACAACCACCCACTCCAGCGGTATGTTGAGCTTTACCCTTACTGATTCAACCCTACAGCAGATGTATGGCATGCCACATTACGACCCGAACCAAGGCTACTACTCGCCGTATGGCTATCCTTATGGGTATGCTCAACCTCCACAAAGCCCACGGCCACAGTATGGAGGCCCGTTCCCACATGGAACGCCTCAAGGTAATGCCCCTCCCTTCCATCCTCCCCCGGCTACCCCAGGCATGGCGCGCACACCTTCCCAGGCTTCCGAGCGTCCTTCTAGTAGTATGGGTCATCCACAAACTCCTTCATCAGTGGCACCTGTGCCGTCAGGCACTCCTGGTCCTAACCCACAGGCACCGTCGAGCAATTTTGTGCGCCCTGCGAAGAAGAGCAGCGCCATCAAAATCACCGACGCCCAAGGCAATGCTGTTGATTTCAAGAAGCCTTCGCCGACACCGTCCGCCTCCGCGCAGCCGCAAACCCCAGTGATTGTCTCAACGCCCAACGCACCAACTCCCCCACCACGTGCCGCCTCGAGCCAACATAACCGCACCGAAAGTCAGGTCACCAAATCTGCTGAGGAGCGAAAGGCCGAGTTCCAGCGCCAAGTCCAGCAACGTCAGGCTGAGGAGCGTAACAAGTCTGCGCAAGACGGGCAGGCAAAGGGCAAGGAGGCTGACCAAATCGCTGAAGCTGCTCAGCAGAAGGAAGCCGAAGAGAAGGCTGCTGCTGAGAAGGCCAAGGCCGATGGTGAGAAATTGGAAGCGGAGAAGAAGAAGCAGGCAGAGGAAGAGAAGAGCGCCGCTGCTGCTGCTGCCGAGAAGGACGCGGCTGCTGCTAAGAAGAAGCAAGACGATGAGGAGATGGAGCGCATGATTGCCGAGATGGAAGCTGAGGCCGCGGAGCAGGAACGCAAGGAGGCCGAAGCCGAGAAGGCGTATCAGGAGAAGAAGGCAAAGGATAAGGCCGCCCGAGAAGCTGGTGCTGCAGAACGTGCTGCTAAAGCCGACGAAGAGCTCAAGCGTCAAGAGCGTGAAGCTGAAAAACGCGAGGAGCAACGCGAGCGTGAGCGCAACGGCGAGACAGACCATTCGAAGAAGGGCGAGCCAGATGATGAGGCCAAGGCCATGTTCGCATCGCTCAAGAAGGCCACCATTGGACCGAGCGCTTCTGCAAGCGGCGCCGACACTCCAACATCGGAGAGGGATGAGGAGCCGGCAGAATCATCTGCACCAGTACTACGTGCAGGTGGCGCGCATAAGCCCAAGCCTGCTCACCTCAAACTGGAGACGAACAAGCCGGTCGAACGCGCAGAGCCAACGCCTGGTATGCAAGCACTCAAGTCATCACGGTTCCTGGAGCTCAAGGAGGAAGCAAAGTATCCAGATGGCTTCAAGTCGCCCAACCCTGCTCTTAACCAAGCAGGACAGCGCAAGGGCCGTGCTTACGACAAGGACTTCTTGCTGCAGTTCCAGTCTGTCTTCAAGGAGAAGCCTTCTGTCGACTGGGACCAGAAGGTCAAGGAGACACTTGGACCTGGTGACGACTCTGCTCGTCCACAGTCCGCACGCACACCATCTGGCGCCATGTCAAGACAAGGCTCTGGTCGTCCAGGTCAAAGCATGGGCAACTTTGGTGGCGCAATGGGCAGCTTCAGCGGTCCCATGGGTCCACGAACGCTGCCTGCTGGTACTACCTCAGAACAGCGATTCATGGCTTCGCAGACGCAGATGGGTCCTCCTCGTGGCGGTGCTGCTGCTGGTATGTCAAGACAGCCCTCACAGCTCGGTATGGGTGCTCCCGTTGTCGGCATGAGCCGCACAAACAGTCTTCAAATGATGGGCAACATGGGCGGACCAAATTCGCCACGTCAACCATCATCGCGCGGCAACAAGGGCGCGAGCAGACGCGACGACCGCCAACACAGCAAGCGACAAGAAGCCGAGATGGCGAGCAAAATGCCGCTCACCGCGCACATGGAGATTACGCCGCTTGAGAAGTCGCAGAGTGGTTGGAAGCCGATGAGCTTGGCGACGAATCCGGCCACAGCTGGTCCAGAACCATCAGGTCTGATGGCACCAGACATGGTGCAGCGAAAGGTCAAGGCTGCTCTCAACAAGATGACACCCGAGAAATTCGACCGGATTTCCGACCAGATTCTCGAAATCGCTGCCCAATCGACGAAAGAGACCGACGGCCGCACACTCCGACAAGTCATTCAGCTCACTTTCGAGAAGGCTTGCGATGAAGCTCACTGGGCCGGCATGTACGCCAAGTTCTGTCAGAAGATGTTGACGACCATGAGCACCGACATCCGCGACGAAACGATCAAGGACAAGAACGGCAACCCTGTCGTCGGTGGCGCTCTCTTCAGAAAATACCTTCTCAACCGCTGTCAGGAAGAGTTCGAGCGTGGATGGCAAGCCAACCTGCCCGACAAGCCCGAAGGCGAGGGAGGAGAAGCGGCGCTCCTTTCCGACGAGTACTACGTTGCTGCTGCTGCCAAGCGACGTGGTCTCGGTCTGATTCAGTTCATCGGTCAGCTGTACAAGCTGAAGATGTTGACGCTCCGCATCATGCACGAGTGTGTCATGCGTCTGCTCAACTTCGAGGGCGAGCCAGATGAGGCTGCTGTCGAGAACTTGACGACGCTTCTCAAATCCGTTGGCGCGACTATGGAAGAGGAAGAGCAAGGTAGGATCATGATGAACGCCTACTTCCAGAGAATCGACACGGCACTTCTCAAGAGCGAGAGTCTCGGAAGCAGACCTCGCTTCATGATCATGGACTTGATCGACCTTCGGAGAGCAGGCTGGCGAGGCAAGGACGATGCCAAGGGTCCCAAGACCATTGCACAGATCCACGAAGAGGCGGAGGCTGCCCAAGCGAAGGCTGAAGCTGAGCGCCAGAAGTCACAGCGTGGTGGACCCGGTCGACCTCCCGCAGGTCGTGGCGATGCTCGCAACTTCTCCGGCGGCATGCCACCACCAGTTGACTACAACAGAACGACCGTGGGCATGGATGACTTGCGCAGACTGCAGACTCGTGGCCAGACGCGCGCTGCTGGTGGTTCCCTCGGACCAGGTGGTGGTCTTGGACCATCCTCCCTCAGCAGCGGCCGCACCGGTAGCAGACGCGGCGCTGGTAACCTCGGACCCGGCTCTTCTGCCAACTCAACGCGCACCAACACGCCTCCTGTTGACAAGAAGGACGAACCAAGTACTGCGCAGAATGCATTCAGGTATGCGTTAAATATGTTGATCATCGCGTAACCCAAACTAACATAATGACAGTGCTCTTGCCTCACTCGACGCATCAGGCGATCAACCCGAAGAACAGTCCGAAGCAGCATCACCGCCAGCTGCACGAAACCGATCCAAGTCACCGATGGCGGCAGACAAGGATGAGTCTTGAATCGCATGAGATACCCCTTCTGTTTCGCATGGCCTCGTTGTATCATACCTTCGGACTGTATTATCATCGGAACGCCTTCTAATGTCACGCCTGCATCGCCCGACGGGTGGAGAGGAAATAGAGAGAGAGAGAGGGAGAGAAAGCGCGCGCGAAAGAAAGAGCTTGCTTCTTGCCATGGATTGATTGCATTGAGGACATGCATTCTTGCCTCACTTTACCCGAACTGTGTTATGAAAGCTTTTCTCTGCCTTGCACAAGCAAAATTTTCTTGGCGGGGAAAATTCATCATGAGATGCGCGCTTGTTTTTGCTGCTGGAAAAGGGCCATGGGCGTTATGAATGGGTCTAGAGAGAGATTCGGAAGCGATGCTGCTTTTTTGATACTGCGATTCGATGCGATGCACTTATGCTTCTTCTTCTTCTTCCTTCTGCCTTCTTTCGTTGCTCTTGCGGATTTTTGAGAGCGCTCACTCACATGGGCATCAAATCGAGGCTCTTTCGAATCCGCAACGAGTACACGTTTTTCGATGATTGGGGTGGTGGTGAAGGAGGAAGGAAGGTGCAGTGATTTGGTATGAGAGAGAGGACACTTGACTTGGCGCGCATGCGAATCGAGTGTACGAGTGTACATAGTGGGGTTAATTTGAACAAGTTTGAAAAAAAAACGTCTTCTTCAATTATGAGTTCTATGTGGTGATTGATCTCGTGATGTTGTGATGTTGTTGTTTAAGGGGGGGAGAATTATCTTGCTTCAGAATGAGGGTGGGTGAGGGGTGCGATGTTGATGCTTGGTGAAGATGGTTGTGGCGAGGGAGAGGTGTGATGGAAGTAAAGCTTTATACAGGCTGCGAGAAAGTAGGTCTTGGAAATGCCCTCAAATAGTTTGAAGTGATACATAACTGCTCCCTGCAAGCAGCTGCCTTCTTACTCGATCAACCCTCCTTCCGAATCCTCCTCGTTGGCCAACCTCTTCCTCCTCCTAACTTTACCTCCCCCCCTCCTCCCTCACACTCAACTCCTCCACAATATTCCTCTCATCCTTCCACGCAAAACTCACATACTTCGTATGACTCCCCCTCGCCACAATTTCATCCCTATCATTGAAAAACCTTATACTGCCAAAAACAAAAGAAAAAACACACACGTTTCAGCCCCATTCCTATTTCTTTTTCTTTTTTCTTTTTTTTTCTTCTCAACTCACCTCGTATAAGCCAACGTCTTCCCAAACTTATCACAAACCACCTCGGCCCGGATCTTCTCCCCGATTTTCCCCCCGGAGTTCAGGTACGTGACGTTTAAATCTGTGCTTACGCCTGTCGCGAACAGACCGCGGGATGCTACGGCTAAGGACCCGCCGAGATCGACCATGGAGGCGATTGTGCCGCCGTGTAGGATTTTGAGGCGGTTCTGGATGGATGGATGGGGATGTTAAATTTGGATGGAAGGGAGGGGGCAGGATTTTTACGGACCGTGTGTTGTTGTTCAATGTCGAGTTCGAAGGTTACGGTTCCGGGTTGGGCGGTTGTTATGCGGAGCTGTTTTTTAGGGGGTGGGTGTGTTAGTGAAGAAGAAGAAGGCGAGATAGATGTAGAGAGATGTAACGTACATTATCAAGTAGCCTATAAAAATTTTTTCCGCCCAAAAAATCAGCATTGTTTCTTCTTTTCTTACTCTTTGTTTGAGCGTATAGAAAGAAGTGGTTTCTTTTTTTTTCTTTTTTTTTCTTTTTTTTTCTTTTTTTTTTACCTACCTAGGTTCCAAGCCAGAGGTTGCGCGGAAGGATTCCCATACTGATCGTACGAAAGGTAGACATTTTGAGCTCATTGTTGCCTGGTGATGGAGGACGGGAGTGTAACGATGGAGAGATTTGTAGGCGTGAAGACGTGAAGTGAAGGGAAGTGAAGTCGGCAATTGCGGGATGGGATTCTTGGCGGATTCAATGGCTGTTTTATTTACTGCAGATATTAGACTTGGTTTTGAACGAATGGGCATTGAGATGGGGTTTTACTGCGGCTATGTGTCCGTAGCACTGATGTCGAGGTTTCTGCGTTGGATGCTTGGACACGTTCTGCTTGCCCTTCAAGTGCATTTTCAAGCCGAAGAGGGCTCCGCAACCGATACTGTACCCTTCTCCTAAGCGGGCGGCGTGTCGTCTTATCTCCTCTACAACTACCCTTCCAGGCCGCGAGGGGTGCCCTTGGTTGCAACGAGTGCCGACTTTTCTTATAGAGAGTGGCGACGAGAGAGTGTATATAGTTGGCATGTGAAACCGCTGTCTAGAATTTCCGTGACCGCCTTTTTGAGAGACTCTTCTTCTTCTTACGATGCTTAAAAGCAAATTGTGAGATGGGTATCTAATGCTAAAGACCTAGCATGAAAGCTGAACAAAAGAACTCCATGCTCGCTCCACTGGTGCTTACCTACAGTTCCCTATGCTGAATACTGCTCCTGACCGCACAGTCTCTATTGATTCGATTCGGGTAGTCATCAACCCTCATCAACGTCCATATCATCTCGCTTGCCCTTCTTACCTCTGCCGCCTCCAATCCCACTGCCCTTCTTGCCGCCCTTCTTATCGGCGTCATTCTTCAGCTCAGTTATGGCTACTCGCTGCGCCTCCGCAACTCGAGGCGCGAACACCATAACCTCTTCGCGCTCGGTGGCATGCTCCTCAAGCTTCTTGCCGAGCGCTTTCTCGATACGTTGGTAGATTTCAATGTCGTATTGTGTCACGATCGAGATCGCTACTCCAGATTTACCTGCACGAGCTGTCCGTCCCACTCGATGCACATAAGTCTTACTGTCCGGCGGCAAATCGAAGTTCAAGACCAGATCCACAGATGGTATGTCAAGACCTCGGGCGGCCACATCTGTTGCGACGAGAATGTCCCGAGACCCTCCTCTGAACTTGTTGAGTGCTCCGAGACGAGCGCTCTGATTCATTTGACCGTGAAGAGGAATGGCAGATCGACCTAGTGCTCGCAAGACGTATGCGATCCGCTGAGTTTCATGGATCGTCCGAGTAAAGATGATGCAGGTCTTTCCTGCGAATTCGTCCAACAGGTACACCAGGTAGATATCCTTGTACTTGTGAGGGATGAACATGTAGCGTTGCATGAGGTTCTTGACAGTCTGATATGAGCTTTCAGATATGCTCACTCGTACTGGGTTCTGCAAAGCAGCTCGCGTCAAGCTATTCAGCTTCGTGCTCATGGTCGCACTGAAAAGCATTGTCCTTCGATCACGATTCAACTCTTGCAGAATCTTGTCAAGTATCGGTCCGAAATCCAGGTCCAATAGTCGATCCGCCTCGTCCATGACCAGATATTTGAAGTGCTTGACGGAGAATCCTTTAGTATTCTCCATATGGTCGAGAAGTCGTCCAGGAGTCGCAACCACAATATGAGGCTTCTTTGCCAATGCCACAGCCTGCGGCACCATATCCATACCTCCCACAATTACCGCACATCGTACACTGATCAAGCTGCCCAGCGCCTCGAACTGCTGCGATATTTGGTATGCGAGCTCTCGAGTCGGTGCCAGAATGAGTCCGAACAATGGCTGAGGCTTGTCCAGTAGCGCTTGTAAGATGGGGAGCGCGAAAGCAGCAGTCTTTCCACTTCCGGTCTCTGCAAGCCCTATGATGTCTTTCCCTTCAAGCGCTATGGGTATCGCCTCTCTCTGGATAGCAGTCGGTCTCTTGAAATTGAGACTGTCGCATGCATCGCACAGCTCTTCTCTGACACCGAGATCCGCAAAAGTCTTCTCCGCCGCTTCATCGCCGTCCTTTACTGTACTTGCGGCCGCACTCTCGACATCTCGCTCGGGCACTTCATCATCGTCTGAAATTTCGGATGCAGCACGTTTCCGAGGGTGCTCCGGCGAGACTCGGTGTTCCTTCTCCTCCGATACAGTATGCTTTGCCTTTTTGCTAGCTTTCTTTTCCGTTGAATTCAGCTTCCTCCGCTTCGTCGACGACTCCATTATGCTGCTGAGTGATCAAGAGGCAAGTCGCGGTCGGTGGAAAAGTCTCAAGCACCGAGATGGGCCTGCTTATCGATAGCGGCTTGCGAAACCTTGATGGCGCTAGCGAAGAGCTTAATCAATATCCCTGTCAAAAAGTCGTCTGCCAATCTGGAGAGATTTTGGTTGGTCTGAATCCTCGATGCGACTATTTTCCTCCTCGGAAACCGATAGCAGGGTGTCGCTAGGGATTTGAAGAGATGGCAAAGAAGAGGGTGAAGAAGCGCACGCATGTAGGCGCCGCCAAGGGTGGTTTGCCATCTGGTCAGGCGGCGGCGGCAGCAGCAGGAAAGCCAGGCACGCGATCGCCCAAGAGCATGGTCATTCGAGTCGGCGCCAGCGAGGTTGGTCACAGTGTGTCGCAGCTCGTAAAAGACGTCAGGCGCATGATGGAGCCAGACACGGCGTCGAGACTGAAAGAGCGGAGATCGAACAAGCTGCGCGACTATGTCTCAATGGCTGGACCACTGGGCGTTACACATCTTATGCTGTTCAGCAGAAGCGAGCAAGGCAATCTCACTCTACGCATAGCGCTCACACCGCGCGGACCGACTTTGCATTACAGAGTGCTGAAGTACAGCTTAGCCAAGGATGTACACAAGAGTCAAAGGCGACCGAAGACTGCTGGAGAGGAATATCTTAGAGCACCGTTGATGGTCATGAACAACTTTGCTTCGAAGGCAGCAGAAGGAGAAGAGAACAAGCATGATCGCATGAAGGATGTCGAAAAGCTTACGACATCAATATTCCAGTCGCTGTTTCCCGCGATCAATCCCACGAACACACCTCTGGACGGCATCAAGCGTGTGCTTCTTGCCGACCGCAAACCACAAGATCCAGCTTCAGACGCCAGACAGGTCATCCTGGACCTTAGACATTACGCGATAGAGACCAAGACTTCCAAATCAGTGCCGAAAGCCTTGCGAAGACTAGATGCGGCCGAAAAGCTCACTCATTCCGGACAGAAGCGAAAACGCAGCGCATTGCCGAATCTTGGCAAACTGAACGATGTATCTGACTATCTCCTCGATCCTCATGCCGCAGATGGCTTCACATCTGGATCAGAAAGCGAGCCTGAAACCGATGCCGAAGTCGAAATCACCACTACGAAGGAGAAAAAGGTACAAAAGAGGAAAGGACAGAAAGAGGGAGCCAAGGGGCAAAGTAATACACGATCGAGTGTTGAGAAGAAGGCGATCAAATTACATGAGCTAGGTCCGCGGCTCAAGCTGCGATTGACGAAGATCGAGGAAGGCCTCTGCTCAGGCAAAGTGATGTGGCATGAATACATACATAAGACCAAGGAAGAGATGAAGCAGATGGACAAGCACCACGAGCAGAAGAGGCAGGAAAAGGAAAGAAGAAAGGCCGAACAGAGAGCAAATGTGGAGAAGAAGAAGGCAGAGAAAGCCAAGGGCGAAGAGGTGGAGGAGAGCGAAGACGAGGAGATGCTATCAGATGACGACGAATGGGACGATGCGGACGAGATGGAAGATGATGAGTATCATGGACCTGACGCTGATGCTGGTGCAAGCGATGAAGAAATGGACGATGATGAGGAATAGCCTACCTTCGCCCCAAGCAGTCAACCGTGTCCACGTGCAATACCATTACCGTTAAGAGCTTTCCATCTGGGCCAACAGGGAGCTATTACCTAGTCTCGAGCAAACGGTAGAATTTCTTACGACCTAGAGCTACGAAGTTCTAGTATTCTTTTATATACTCGCCTTTCGCTACGAGACGGTCTTAATACTTTATAGTTGAGAAGCCGAAAAGAAAGTTAACAGAGCAGGTCGAGAAGAAGTAGGTCGCTCCGAGCCAGGCGCGACTGCGTGGATCTAATCTTATCGCGGAGTAGAATAGGCAAAGTCCTAATTCTTATATATATACGTAGAACTTTAATCTGCTATAAACGCGATTTATATAAGATCGAGTCTCGGTATTTAGATACTACTACTATTAGGCTTAGCGGAGTTAGACCTCTAGGTACGTAGCGCTCGTATAAACAGCCTTATCAAGCCTTACCCCGGCAAAATACGAATCAAGCGTGAGAGATCCATAATGTCACCTCTTCACAACCTTGCTATCAAAACACATGCATTTTCGAAGCTGCCACGATAAGGGGTATCTCTGATAAATACTCACGGTTCCCCAAGCCCCCAAAATGACTTAGCACCCGAAACACCACCAGCCCATAAACCATTGAATTTCTCCAGAGCGTCAAAGCTCACACGAGAAGACTCTCGAAGTGAAGCAAATATCCATCGAAGCGGTGGCGTCGCGTATCAGTTTGTGCAGAATGCGGCAAACGAGTCTTCACTCAAGTTGTAATATCGTCATCCAGAAAGCGAAGGCTGACACCGTGCGTAGTCCTGATATCGAATGTATCCTCCTCGTCTTCGTCATTGTCTGATTGAACAGAATCATGAGCTTGGAAGTTTTCTTCGTTGCTGCCCGAGCTGCCGCCATCAACGTTCAGCATATCGAATCTGTTGGACAATGGCGTTTTCTTTGCGATTGGTGCTTGAGTCAGTGACTTTGCTATGGTTGCGCGAGCTGGCAACGGCACATCACACTCATCTGGGAAGAATTCGACCTTGCAACCTCGATAGGCGGTTCTGCTCATCATGCAAGTTCTAGCGAATAGAGCGTTGTGGACTGAGTTAGTGGAAACGTATGCGTTGCCAGCTCGAAAGGCAATGTCGATGATGACCAGGTTATGGATGTGCTCCATATCTGCGCGAATTTGTGCTTCAGTGAAGCCTTTCTCACCAGCTGAACGGATGAGGATGTTTCGAGAGGCGCCACTGGCAAGCTTATCCTGAATATGGTTGTTGAGATGATACTGACGGTCGGCCCACTTGAAGTCGATGCGCTTTGAATGCAGATAGACGTCGTTGCGTTTGACCCATGCCAAGAAGTCTGCGGCGCCATCTGCAAAGGTTACAGTTGCATTTCGATCGGAGCGCATGCTGATGTTGAGAAGCTTCCCGCCCTTGATGACCGAGACGAGATCGCGGTATGTGGTACCTGCGGCGAAGCCGGAGAGACATAGGGTGCGCAGAGGAGCACCGTTGTTGCTGTGCGTGGCTTCGACATCATTTTGCTCGTCCATAAAGCTATCAGCCTCGGCGAAGTCTGCGTTGTCAGGCACTGAGGACGGGGGAACAGCATTGCTCAAATGCCGACGCGCGTCTGTTGCACGCTGGTCGGCTGAGACTGGCCGGCGACTTTCGCGATGAAAGCTACGCCTGCCTGGTGGCAGCTTGAAAGAAGGAGCAGACGTACCAGATCTCCATGCAGTAGCATGATGTGAAGCTGAATGACTTGTGGTATGGTTGGCATAGGCAGGTGGCGTGTCGATGTAGTCGTCGGCCCAGGAGTCCATCTTGTGCTGCGTGGGCTTCGATTCGGTTGCACCACTGATAAGCAAAGCAAGCGCGTCTGGTGTGAGGCCACCTTGGAGGAGAGACTGCTTAAGTAGCTGGAATTCTCGAGCATCGCGAAGCTTGACACGGTTAGCAATGATAGGCTTCATGGACAGGTGCAGCCCACCAGATGATCGTAGTCCGCCTTGGATATGGTGACGCTGGCAGCATCTTGGCGGCCGAGGATCTGAGCAGATGTATGCTTGCGAGGCATGTTAGCGTGACACCGACCGCAAGTCGCCTCACAGACACAAAAGCGCCTTGTCGGCGTGCTCGTGCGCGACGATTCTTCTACGTACAAAATCGGCCCTGTGGGCAGACGGTCAGTGAGCGGCTACGTGCATCTTCTCCTTCTTGGCGCCGCGGAGGCCTGCATTGTCCATACCTGCGAAGTAGCGCATCAAAGTACGACTTATCTACCGTCACTTGGTCTGAATAGGCCATGTCTGCCAGCGAGAAGAGACAAGCGCGTCATGAATTGCTGCGGTATCGATATGAGAAGTTGCAACAAAGGGAGGCGACCACGGTCCGACAGGGATGTCATTAGCGTTAACCTTGACGAGCCGCGCCTGCCTGGGAACATCAGAGCTTGCGCGCTCCATCTCCATCGACTATGGACGGAAATGCGCTTCAACAGCCTTCGACCGTCGGCGATGGCTCCGGCTCGATGTGGTCCCAACTCCTGAGCAATCCATTTTTCACTGCGGGCTTTGGCCTCGCTGGCCTGGGAGCTGCCGCGAGATATGGCTCGCGAGCACTCAGCAGCGCTGCCTCGCTCGTCAGACATCGCATGCTGGTCGATCTGGAGATAACGAGACATGACAAAGCGTATCCGTGGCTTCTCGGCTGGATGACCAGGCAGTACCACAGTCAACTCGCCCGTCCTGCACACCGAAAGCGAGTCGGAATCGTCGACAGCCTCATCCAACGATTCACACCCCGCCTCCATCATCTTCAAATCGACACACAAGTCGTGAAGAGCGCTGCTGGTTCTGATCAAACCACCTTCACCCTGGTGCCTGGACACGGATCTCACATCTTACGATACAAGAATGCCTTCATCGCAGTCAGTCGCGAACGCGTGGAGCGCAGCCAGGATTCCCAAGGGAGGCCGTTCGAGACTGTAAAACTGACCACCTTGTACCATTACCGCCATGTCTTTGAAGACATTCTTCGGGAGTCGCATGAAATGGCGAATCAAAGCGTTGAGGGCAAGACAGTGGTCTACACCTCTCACCGAATGGGCTGGGAACCCTCCGGCGAGCCCAAACGACGAAGGCCTTTTCACTCCGTAGTGCTTGAGGAAGGCTTGGCAGAACGTATCTTGCACGACATTCGTGAGTTTCAAGATGCAAGAACCTGGTATCTGGACAGAGGCATTCCATATCGACGCGGCTATTTGCTCTATGGACCTCCTGGAACGGGGAAAACCTCTTTCGTGCAAGCTCTTGCTGGTGAGATGGACTTCAATATTGCTATGCTCAGCCTGAGTCAGCGAGGTTTGACTGATGATCTGCTGAATCAGCTTTTGGTTCAGGTCCCGCCTCGGACGATTGTCCTGCTAGAGGACGCGGATGCTGCATTCAGCAATCGTCAACAAGTCGACTCGGACGGATACAGTGGGGCAAACGTGACCTACTCAGGACTTCTCAATGCGCTAGATGGAGTTGCCAGCGCTGAGGAGCGAATCATATTCATGACAACCAACCATGTCGATCGACTCGATGATGCCCTGATCCGGCCTGGTCGCGTAGACATGACTCTTCATCTTGGGAATGCCACCGAGCACCAAATGGAACGTCTCTGGGATCGTTTCTATGCAGAGCAGGATCCCGATGGCAGTGGAAGACGACGCTTCATCGATGAAGCAAAGAGACATGATCTGGTCGGCAACGTCAGTACGGCCGCTCTACAAGGGCTGTTCGTCTACAACAAGGGCGATGTGGAAGGTGCTATCGCGATGGTCGACCAGCTTGCTTCTCTCCGACCTGGTCAGCAGAAGTCACCCTAGCAAGAAAGATACCAACGACAGTGGAGTACATTGAAAAGCACGTTGCGGTCTCTTCGACAGGATCGGAGCGATATTGTGGCATCGCTTTGCTACTGGGAGATCCCTCTCTGGTTTAGCATTTTCGTTGCCAGAAGGAAGGTTTTGGGGCGCAGGGTTGTTTTGCTTGCACAGCAACGCACACGAGCAGACATCTGGTCTATTCACAGCCTTCCCGCGACGTTACCGCTTTCTCTCAACTCTACCTCGAGATCGAGAACACTGTGAACAACGAAGGGATGTTTGGAAAGTCGCTACGGCGGACCATCACACCAGGAACTCATTGTGTGATGAATGCTTGATTGGGTATTTGCAGTGATCCAGGAACCGTCTGTGCACGACAAGGCACATGGCGCAATCAAGGTTGGCCCAGCAAGGGTCTCTTGCCTGTATTCGACCATGGATCTCCTGACCCGATATCCCCACGATCGAAGCTGCATGTCTATGCAGTAGTACTGTCGAGACGTTGCTGGCGCCCGAGACGCCTAAGCATTGGCTCACATCTGCACTGAAAGCCGTCACATTCCGCCCAGAAGCTCACATGCATCATGCCAAGCGAAAGTCCTGGCGAGGAGGAAGCATTTCTGACGACTATCTGTCAAGCACTCGAAATCTTCGCGCGCTCACAACATTCCGGCCGGTCTGGTCCATTCAGATGAAATGTCTGCTGGCCTTTGCAATGCTCTACGGGATAGCCCTGCTACAAGCACGCAAAGCAGCACGTCGAGACCCCACATCGCTCTTTTTCGATCCTGATCTTGGCTTTGAGCGTCTCTACACCGCTCAGCGGGAAGCGGAGGCTCATGCATTTATCGACAAATGGAATGCCATGCGCCCATATGAGGCGAAAAGCGCCAATCAGAGCATATGCATTGGCATTCCAACAGCTCAACGAGCTAACGCATCTTACTTCGAGACGACCGTCGGATCGATCTTGGCGGGTTTATCTCCAGAGGAGCGTAGTGAGCTTTACGTCTTGCCATTCATAGCTCATCTTGATCCTCAGAAACATCCAGCCTACCAGACTTCCTGGCTTCACGGCGCTACTGATGATGTTCTCATCTACAATCTTGAAAGGAAGGAACGCAACTATGTAGCTCACCTCGAGAAATCCGAGAAGAATCATCACAAGAAGTCTCTCATCGATTACAAATACATCCTCAATGCCTGCCACGAGGTTGGAACGCCATTTATCTTGATCGTAGAGGATGACGTGCTTGCGGCTGCCGGATGGTATGCACATCTGAAAGCTGCTCTGATAACAAAAGTCCGTCGATCCACCACAGAAAGCTCTCTATATCTTCGCCTTTTCTACACCGAGAAGAATTTTGGCTGGAACAAAGAGCATTGGCTCAGCTACCTTGTCTACTCAACCGTTGTCGAGGGCCTTGTCGCAGGCTTGCTAGTTGGGCTCCGTCGTCGCTCACGCACACGTCGCCTTCTCACACCTACCTTCTGTATCGCAATCCTCATTCTATGCATCCCACTCCTCATCCTCCTGTTCTTCGCCACTGGCCGCCTCACGCTTTTCCCTCTCTCGCATGGCTTACAACCAATGGATAAATACGGCTGCTGCTCACAAGCCCTCCTCTATCCACGCGATCAAGTCCCTGGTCTAATCGACCGTTTCGAACAAGAGCTCTCTGGCATCAAGCTGCGAAAAGCTGTCGACGCACTGATCGAGACCTACGCCGATGAAATGGGGTTGAAACGTTGGGCAGCAATACCCAGTCCCTTCCAGCATATCGGTACTCGAAGTGGGAAGCAGATCAAAGTTGAGAAGTCAACGAAATGGGGAAGAACAAGCGCGGAGAGGATCTGGAATCTTGAATTTGAAAGCTGGTGGCTACATCATCATGCCCGCGCAGCTGTTGGCTTGCGAGGCAATGAGAACCTTGACACCGAGCATGAAGGCGTAGACGCACTGATCGAAGCTTCTCCTGAGATGTTGATCGCACAGTCTCTCTGCCTACGCGCTGCAAACGCGAGCTCTACGCCGTCGCTTGACAAGCACTGTAGTACAGGGTGTCACCTGCATACAAGAAGCCGCTTCTCCGCTGACCAAGACCTATTCGGAATTTCAATTCGTTCATCAACCAGGACATGGTTATGTGAGACGCGCGAGTATATGCTGTCGGTCAACACCAGCGTCCACACCCTTGCTGAGAAGGTGCGGTGCATGGTGATGATGTGTACCTGCAGTGAATGCCGACGAAAATTTCCTAGCAATCTGTCTCGCGTCATCGCAAGTCACCAGGTAGTTAGTTCTACAAGGTCGGCTGCGTGCTTAGCGCCAAGCCTCCTCGGCTTCCGCCTCACACACTGTGCCGATCTCGCCTAACATTCTACTAGCCGACGTGTAGAGCGGCGTCGGCAAATGGTTCACATTACTTAGACTCACGAGGCCTAGCAAGACCTCAACTGTATTCTTCTTACCTACACCGGAAATAAATTAAAGTCAAAACAAACGTCTCATCATGTCTTGGCAACCCGACACAGAAACCTGCAAATCCTGTCCAGAGAAGAAGACCAACAGCTGTCCAGAGAACAGCCACACCGTCGACATAGAAGATTACAAAGCTGAACTCTCCTCCCTCCGAGCAAGAACGAAAGAGCTCGAAGCAAAACTTTCCCAACTCACAATCGATTCCGGCAAAGAACTCCGCTCCACAAAATGGTTCCGTCGACACGACGACAAAGCCATCTCAGCGCTTTACGTCGACCGCTACCTCAACTACGGCCTGACGAAAGAAGAACTCATGTCCTCAAACCCCATCATAGGAATTGCAAACTCCGGCTCCGATCTCACGCCATGCAATCAATACCACACCACCCTCGCAAAACGCGTCCGAGAAGGCATTCGCAGCGCGGGAGGAATCGCAATCGAATTCCCCACCCATCCGATTCAAGAATCTTCCCGAAGACCCACGGCGACATTGGATCGGAATCTGAGTTATCTGACTCTAGTCGAGTTACTCTATGCCTATCCCTTCGACGGAGTCGTGCTCATGACCGGTTGCGATAAAACTACCCCCGCCTGCCTCATGGCCGCAGCAACCGTGGATATCCCTGCAATATGTCTCAATGTCGGACCCATGCTGAACGGCTACGATCGACATGATCTCATAGGTTCTGGGACGGTCGTTTGGAAAGCTAGAGAACTCCACGCCGCAGGGGAAATCTCGGGGGAGGAAGTCACGGATCTTATCACTCGGGGAACTCCTAGCGTGGGGCATTGTAATACGATGGGAACGGCTTCGACTATGAATGCTTTGGCTGAAGCTTTAGGGATGGCTCTGCCCGGTTCCGCGAGTATTCCAGCTCCGTATAAAGAACGGGCGCAATGTGCGTATAGGACTGGAGTGCAGATTGTGGAGATGGTGAGGGAAGATCGGAAGCCTAGTGATGTTATGACGAGGGAAGCGTTTGAGAATGCGATTGTTTGTAATACTGCGATTGGAGGGAGTACGAATGCGCCCATACATTTGTGTGCTGTGGCGAAACATATTGGGGTGGATTTGGACTTGGATGATTGGGATCGCATTGGGTATCATGTTCCGTTGATGGTGAATGTTCAGCCTGCGGGTGAGTGGCTTTGTGAGGAGTATTTCCGGGCTGGGGGGTTGCCGGCTGTGATGGCGGAGTTGTTGGAACAAGGGAAATTGCATGAGGGGGCTTTGAGTTGTAATGGGAAGACGGTGAGGGAGAATGTGGAGGGGAAGAAGAGTTGGGATCGTAGGACGATTTTGGAGTATGGGAAACCGATGAAGAGTGATGCAGGGTTTTTGCATATGAAGGGGAACCTTTTCGATTCGGCCATTATGAAAACCTCTGTGATTTCGGATGAGTTTCGGAAGGTATTTCTGGAGGACCCGAGAGATCCGAATGCGTTTGAAGCGAAGGCTGTGATTTTTGACGGGCCGGAAGACTACAATGCGCGAATCGAGACCGCTCCCATTGATGAGAGAACGATTCTTGTGATGCGTGGAGCTGGACCGCTCGGGTACCCTGGTGCGGCGGAAGTGGTGAACATGACGGCGCCTGCACACTTGCTCAAGAAGGGCCTGAAATATTCCCTGCCTTGTATTGGCGATGGTCGGCAATCTGGCACTTCGGGCTCGCCCTCAATCCTGAACGCATCACCTGAGGCAGCAGAAAATGGTAACCTAGCCATACTGAGCGATGGCGACATGCTCAGGGTGGATTTGAGCAAGCGGAGAGTAGACCTGTTGATTCCAGAGCCGGAGATCGAGGCGCGCAGAAAAGACCTGGTAGCCAACGGGGGCTACAAGATGATCGAAAGCCACACGCCATACCAGGACATCTTCCGGAGAGAAGTCGGTCCGCTCAGTGAAGGCATGGTGTTCAAGAAGGCAACCAGATTCCAGAGGGTCGCGCAGAAAGTGCCGATGCCTAGAGATAATCATTAGACAGGAGATGATGTTTGATGGAATGCTGTATTATTCTGGTGCCCAACGGAAAATGTGCTGTGGGTTGCGCAGAGTGCAGCGGTATCCACAGCCAAGACGAACATTCCTTAGCGCAAAATGTAGCAAGTCCAATGATCGATCGTGCTTGTGACTTGCTTGTAGGGCGGGGCGATCTTTGATCTAGTTATTGGTTACAGGAGGCTCCACTCGAGTGCTAGTAGTTCCTTCCTAGTGTTGTGCTTCTACCGTAGTTGTAAAATAGGGGCAGTGTCTACCGATAAACCCGCTACGTACGTACGAGTAGACATACGGAGGGTCTTATCGTATCGGGGCTAGCTGCTAAGCTACTATATAAAAGTAGATAAGAAGCGATGCGTTATATACTAAGAGTAAGTAAATATAGGGAAATATCTATAGACTCGCCCTATAAGTGCTATTAGGGTTAGTAACGGCGCTATTATCGACCTCGCTATCTAATATAGCTTTAAGCACTTCTTCCGGATCGTAGAAGTTATCGTCTATAAGCTAGTTATCGTTAATCCTATACTTAATACGAAGGTTCTAATACAGATAGACTAGCTTCTCGATAGTAGCGTAAGATAGGCGATTACGGCGGAGGCTTATAATAAAGCTATAAGCTAACTAGTTACACTCGGCGGTACTAGTTATTAGTGCTATTAATAGCGCTAGCATTATTAATTCCGAGAGGTTAGGGTGTATAGATTTAATATTGTTATACTACTATTATATAGGCGACTAAGATAGGCCGGACAGCTATACGACCTTGTTAGTAAATAGACCTTACTTGTTATATAGAAGGAAGAGGTCGCTTATTAATTTACCGGCTCTTATCTCGAGTTTAACGCGTAACTCTTGTCGTTATTGTCGCTCGTAGTATTATATAAGGAAATCGGCTATACTATAAAGCTCCTCTTTGCTAATAATAATAAGCTTCTAAGGGTCCTTACGCTCTCGAATATTACTAAGATAGGCGATTAATATAAGGGGAATATAGAGGTTGTTAGAGGCTACACGTAATTGGCATGTAACTAGGCCGAGTAAAGCTAGGGTCCTAATGCCTTAGGCAGGGCTTGGCGCTTAGCGTTAGGCTAACTAGCCTACCTTCCTCCCTCTCCTCTTAGATCTCTATCGAATACTACACTAATTAACTACCCCCCTATCTACCTACTAATATAACCCTTCTTATATAGTATTCGATCTACCCTTTAAGGGCAGCAGCTAGATAGTCCTTATTTTAAGCTTTTAGCGGTATAGCTACGAGAACTATCGATTTAACTATATTACGCCCGAAGAACGAGACCTATACGTACCCTTCTATCGAAACAATCGTACTAATTATTAAGCAAGGCATTCTATACGGCCTATTACACTAAGTTAAGTATACTAGACCGATACCTACTAATTCCGCTATATTAGCATTTTAGGGGCCTATAATACATTATTAGTGTTACCCCTTATTATAATAGCAGGTTTATTACGAAGCAACAACAACCGTGCTACCGCTAGCAGCGCTAGCAACGACAACGCTAGTAGTATAGTACCTGCTAAAGTGCCTACTAAAGTGCCTACTAAAGTACCTACTAAAGTGCCTCCTACTAAAGAGCCTACTACTAGGCCTGCCGAAGAACCTATAGTTCTAGGCGATAATCTAGAATTGCCTGTTAACGACATTCTTAACAACATTATTAATCGACGATATAGCTAACTAGCTTTTAGCCCCTAGCTAGTAGCGAGACTCTAAGAAGCTACCTAGAATAGGCTCGCTACTCTACGCTAAGAACAATAGCTAAAGGAGAACCTCCTTGAAATCCGCCGCCTTTAGGAGGCCCTAACAACTAACACTAAGCCGATAGTAGGGCCTTCCTTACTATTAGTCCTAGTCTAGAAGAAGGATGCTAAACTTAAGGATTGCACCGTGTTTAATAGCTCTAGCCGCAAGCAGTACAATAATTATATACGTAATTGTGAATTAAACTAGCGGAATGCACTAAGGGCCCTGCTAGATAACTATTCATTAGTCGTCTACGCTATGCAATACATTAATAGCGACCTAAAACGCACCTAGGATGACTATTTTAACTCTCTTAATAATTAGACCGCTGTTTAATAGTAAGACTACAAGACTATTATATTAAACACCCTTAGTAACCCTATATTGCGCTAGCAGCACGCCTAAGACTAATACCTACGTACTAAACAAAAGGCCGACTAAACCTCTCGATCCTTCGAGGCCTATCTAAAGACCCTTAAGGACGATTTGCTACCTAAAACCGACTCTATCTAGATATCTAAGATACGACCTAAATTGAGATAGGCTATTATAGGAACTAGTCCTTAAATTGGACCGCCGCCGTGTGTTTGAACAGGCTAACCTAACACGCATTCAATTTATAGTCGAAGTAGAAACGGCTAAACGAGCTATTTAACTCTAATAGAGACTAGAATCGAGGATCCGACTAGCTAGTACTAATCGCGGCAACCGTAGTGCCCGCGGAGGAAACTAAGGTTCTACTTAAAACAACAATACTAATAATAGGAATAGTAACGACCGTAGAAGAGGCCGTAGCCGACGGCTATATAGAGGAGGCCGTAATAGGGGCCGTAGAAGGGGCTCGTATCCCTATAGTACTAATCGCTTAACTAATAATAGTAGTAATAGCGGCTATAGCAATCCCCTAACCGGGTTGAAGTACTTTAACTATAACAGTACTAGCTATCTCCTAGGCTAGTACGACAAACCTAAGGACTAGGCCCGAATCGACCGTACTGCCGCTAAGTACCGGAAGCACCTTTTAGCCGCTAATGCTACCCCTATCGGTCCTTCCTATTAGTCGAAAAAAGAATAAGCGCCGCACTAACTGTTAGCCTCGTACGGCGTAAAACTATCGATATTGTACTAGCTATTATACGCACCTGTCTTATATAGGACACATATAGAGACAACTATAAGACTAAGGTTATGCTAGATCTAGGAAATTCGGTTAGTACCCTTATTAGCTATCGCCTAGCTAAGCAATTAGACCTCCGATAATTGCCTAGAACTAATATACTAACCCTTGCTTAGTTTAATAACGCTCGGCACTTAACCTATAGGGCCTACTATATTCCTATAGTTCTAAAGGACGACCTCGGAAATAAACGCCTACTAGACTTTACTGCCTATACGGTAGATATAGATAGCCTCCCCTCCGATATTGTTATTAGCAACCCTATTCTCAAGTACTACGCTATAGTTATAGACCTAGGCCTTTAACAGTAGCGATTTGGAATCGCTAGGAGAGAGGACATTAAATACATCGACATTAGCGAGTGTCCTAATAATATTAGGGTCCTATTTATTAGCAACCTGACCCCTGCCTTAGCTAATCCGACTACCGATCTGCTCGGTAGTAATAACGATGAACCTGCGCCCCCTAATAATCCTAATTAGCTTGCTCGCATACTAGAGCCTATTAGAGAGACCTATATTAATGTATTCAAACACTACCTAGCATCGACATTGCCTATATTCAAAGAGACGGATTATAAGATTAACATTATAGAGGGCAAAGAGGTTCCTTTTAGTCCCCTCTATAACCTTAGTAAACGAGAGCTTACTATATTGCGTAAGTACCTAGAGGAAAACCTAGCTAATAGTCGCATTCGATACAGTAATAGCCCTGCTAGTGCCCCTATCCTGTTCGTACTAAAGAAGGATAGTAGCCTACGTCTCTATATCGATTATCGTAGGCTTAATGCTGTTACTATTAAAGATCGCTGTCTACTTCCTCTTATTAATAAGACCCTCGATCGCCTTTCTAGTGCCTACTACTACACTATATTAGACATTAAGGACGCCTATTACCGCATTCGTATTCGCAAGGGCGATGAATAGAAGACAGCCTTTCGCACTCGCTATAGCTATTTTGAGTACTTAGTTATGCTATTTAGGCTAGCTAATGCCCCTACTACATTCTAGTCCTATATTAATCGGGCCCTATTAGGCCTATTAGATTACCTCTGTATAGTTTACCTAGATAACATCCTAGTTTACATACACTTACCTAACATTGTAGAATACTAGGCCGTAGTACGAAAGGTCCTCGACCGCCTACGGGCCTATAGCCTATATTGCAAGCCTTCTAAATGCACCTTTGCTACTAAGGAGGTATCCTTCCTTAGCTTCCTCGTATTAACTAAGGGTGTTAAGGCTAATCCTAATTAGATCAAAACTATTACTAAATAGCCTGTTCCTACGTTAATTAAGGAGCTATAGTTATTCCTCGGCTTCGCTAATTTCTATCGTCGCTTTATTAAGGGCTATTTACGGCATATAATGCCCCTAACTGAACTTACTAAAACTAAGGCCAACCTATCTAGAGAGTTCAAATAGACTAATAGAGCACAAGCCGCTTTTGACGGTGGACGCCTTTGCTACAGCTCGTATAGATTAGCTTAGAAGTGGCCGCAAGACTAGATCTAGCAAGAATTAGTCGATTGATGCTAATAGCTATTTGCGCTATAAGGGTAGGCTCTATATCCCTACCGAACATTCGATCCGATAAGAGCTTCTTAAGCGACACTATAATAGTAAGCTTGCCGGTTACTATAGTATAGAGAGGTCGCACGAGTTACTATCGCGTACATACTACTAGCTAAATAGTAAGCGGGACATAAAGGACTACGTAAATACGTATACTGTATATTAACGAGTCAAAGTACTAAAGCACTTACTATTTAGCGAGTTGTCTTCACTTCCTATTCTAAAGAAGCTATTTGCTAAGCTTATAATAGATTTCATTATAGGCCTCCCGCCTACTAAGCGTAGGGGCAGTAAGGATGTGTATAATACTATCCTAGTTATCGTAGACCGATTCACTAAGGGCGCTCGTTACATCCCTACTAGGAAGGATTAGATAGCTATTAACTTAGCTGAATCGCTATAGAATAACATCTTCTATAGCTATTAGGGAACCCCTAAGGGGATAGTCTCTAACCGA